AGAAAGTCTATGCTTTTGTCACTCACGTTTGCGGTTAGTTTGATAGAAGGATGGTGGTTGTTGAGAATTCCCAAAACTGTTCGATAGAATAAGTCCAAACCATAAAAATGTCATCCAAAAAGCGTCCGTAAAAAAGTGGGTCAAATGGACAGAGGGGCAACACCTCACGTTCCCACTCTGCCATGAAAAGGTTTGCGTACGAAGGGGCGAATCGTTTGCCCATTGCTGTCCCTGAAGTTTGTAAATATGTTTTACCATTAAATGTGAAATCGTTTCGACTAAGACATATCTCTAAAAGCTGTAGAATTGCATCGTCGGGTCTGTTTGGATCTGGGTTTCTATTAAAAGCTTTACGAACTGCCGTTAAACCAGTAGTGTTATCGATATTGGTATACATAGAAGAAACGTCGATAGAAATTAAAATAGCATTAGAGGGAACTCGAAATTTTTTATTTTATTGACAAAATCGGTTGTGTCTTTAAGGTAGGCGCGATGTTGACATGCTAGAGGTAGTAAGAAATGATCAATGTATTCTGACACTGCATATGACTCACTACCACAGTCAGATATAATCGGGCGGCCTTTAGGGATTTTATTCGAGATAAATCACTCCTTGGTTGGATTCTTATGGATTTTAGGCAAAGTGTACCAACGTCTCTCGCGACAATCAGGTTTGGCAGACAGATAGTCATATTGTTTCTGTTTGAGATAACTAGTTTTGATTAAATCGGCAAGAATATTGTTAATCATGTTAGCAGTTTCTTTGAAAATTGGTTTCGGTAAAATGGCATAATGTTTAGGATTATTCAGTTGATTCTCTGCTTCTGAAATGAATCGTCCCTATTCAGAATGACACAACATGAACCTTTGTCACTCTTTTTAATAACAATGCTATCGTCTTTCTTAAGTAAGTTTAACGCTTCACGTTCCACTCGTGTGAGATTAGGCTTTTCGTGTGTTATGGAAAGGTTCGCTGTTTGGCTATTCATACTCGCAAATGCTTTCAATATTTCAGGATGGATGGCGGCCTGAGGGGGTGTCCACGTGGATTTAGGAATAAACATTGTTCTAGCAACACGTGGGGGTGGTTTCGAAAAAAATATGTGCAGCTAAGATTTCGTTGAAATCGTTCAATGGATGGTCGGAGATAAATCAAGTTAGCTATCTTTGCTAGCTAGCTATCCACGGTCTAAGATTGAATGCTGAAGGGGTGTGAGAATTTTACGGCTCAAGTTAACTACAGTTTGGCCTAGCGGTGGCCTCTCAGTATTTTTATCCCCAGTAATTAGTTTAAAGACTTACTCGATGCTTAAAGCTGGTGTATCCAAAACAAATAAATGCTGTTTGCTGTTTCTGGAGACCAATGAAGATTATCAACTGGTTCGAATTCTTCTTCGTAGGGTGGTAATATTGTTGCGCTGTTGATACTGGACTCCATCATCATGTTGTTGAGAGTGCTGAGGTTCTGTTGTGCTTTCTTCGAGATTTTATTTGAAATGGGTATACATGTGAAGAGGATCTTGGAGTTTGGAAAGGTTTTGTTGGCTGTGGCGATTAATTTCTGGGCTTGGTTAAAGGAGGTCTTTGGTAGCTGATCACGGTTGTTGAGGCCTACATGAAGAATAATAACTCGATGCTTGAAGCTGGTGTATCCAAAACAAATAAATGCTGTTTGCTGTTTCTGGAGACCAATGAAGATTATCAACTGGTTCGAATTCTTCTTCGTAGGGTGGTAATATTGTTGCGCTGTTGATACTGGACTCCATCATCATGTTGTTGAGAGTGCTGAGGTTCTGTTGTGCTTTCGAGATTTTATTTGAAATGGGTATACATGTGAAGAGGATCTTGGATTTTGGAAAGGTTTTGTTGGCTGTGGCGATTAATTTCTGGGCTTGGTTAAAGGAGGTCTTTGGTAACTGATCACGGTTGTTGAGTCCTACATGAAGAATAATGGTAGTAGGTTTGGGATCATGGTCGTATGATTCCAGGATTGACTGTATGTGATGCATTTGGGCACCGGGGTAAGAATGTATTTCAGTGTCTGAACTGGTTTTAGTAATTCGATTCAGGTTAGATGATCCAATAATTAAGGTAGATTTCTTTAGAGTGGGTAGCTTCCATAATGATTTGTCCTTGGTTTGGTGATAATACGGTTTAGTAGAGGATATAATGGTCGTCGACGGTGTGATTGGTACTGGTTTGGTAGTTGTTAGAATTGTAGCATTGGGAACGGACTGGGATCTGGTTCGAGGGGCGGAAGGTCTGGATACACGTCTCGACTTGGATGGAGACTGAGGGATGGTTTGCTGGTCCAAAAACGCACAGAAGGAAGAAAGGTTGGCGGATCCTGGATCACGTGGTGAAGATTCAGATGGTGTGGAAGGGGAAGACGAGTCTGAAAGTGAAAAGAGAAGGGGAGTGCCCTCTCTACGAGAGTGTTTACTTATGTCTGCTGGACTAGGAGTAGGTGAACTTCGGGCTCGTTTAGGGGTTTGGTTCGGCAGCGTCGTGGCTCTAGATGGTGCAGGTGTAGTGTCCATTTCAGTTGGTAGAGATATGGTTACTCTGGTTTTTGTTTCGTTGATTGTTTGGTAGAACTTGGTGATTACAGCTTGAGTGAGACGTTTCCCATAGGAGCGACGGGCCCAGGACAGGGCATGAGAAACGATGCGGTCGATAAAGACTTGGTACGAATGATGGTCAGCTTCTCTTGAAGTGTGGTTTGGTAATGGTCGATCAGGACCTGTGTAACCTTAGAGAGCCATGTCCGATTGAGGGATCTAATATTTGCGTCAACAGCTGATGTTTTCATTGCTGGACGGATAAAACTATCCAACTCAGAGACTTTGCGTTTGAAGGTAAACGCTGGTTGGCCTTGTTGTGGAAGGGTAAGGATTGCCAAATGATGGAGGCACTGCAAAACTTGGAAGAACACCTTCACAAAGGGTTCTTCCTCCTTATGAGTGGGGACTGGTTGGCGTCGGTGGGCTGGTAGTCGTTTCTGTTGTTGGTCAGGTCGATGATTGGTTGGTAGGTGTTGTGTGTAGGTCGGCGATGGGGTGGGATATAGCTGGATGGGTTGGTTGGTGGTCGGCGATTCGTAGGTGGTAGAGGTCGATGGAAGACAGGGCCGTTGTAGGGTACGTGATATTGGTTTGGTTGACGATTAGGCTTCTTGCCAGTGGTTGTTGTAGTTGGGGAGCATAATGAAAATAACTTGAGGTTAGAAAGGGAATGTACAGCGGATGTAACAGGAGGAAACTGTATATGCTAGCGTGAAAATGTGGGGATCAAATTATGCAAATAAGTCAAACTGGGTTTGGGAATATATAAAGTAAGATAAAAGTTATGATGAAAAATGCAAAAATATATATTTAGGTGATAAATAACGCTAACAATGTTGTGAAAAAATTATAACAAGTAAAACAAAAACTTACGCAATTGACACGAACCGGTTTTCGAAATATTATCCTTTTTCAAGTGTCGAGGAATGGTTATGGTTATGTAAATTTGCGATTTATATAGTAGTCAGTTAATACAGGTTTTTGATTTTCTAAAAATTATTGAGTAAATCGTGTCATATCTTTGATCAGTTGAGGATTAGGATTATTTTTGATTTCTTAATTAGTTGAGTCATATCTTTGATCAATTGAGGATTATAGAAATATTGGATTAGATTTTGATTATATCTGAGTAATTATTCAAGAGGATTAGATTATCTCAGAGTACAATTTACATAAATGAACAGAAATCAAGAATATAAAATAAATAAACATGAGAAATATTTGATAAAATAAGTGGGATTAGTGAATTATAAATTGATTAGAACTAACTTTGAATTTTGATTATACCCGAGTAGTAATTTAAATGGATGGATTATCTCGGAGTATAATTTACACGAAAGAAAAACATAAATAATGGCAATTAAATTTACTTGGTAAGATTAAAAGATTAATGCAAATTTTGTTGAAGAAAGTTTGTTATATGCACGAGAAACAAATGTCAAAATCCTAACATATACAATATATACAAAAAAATTAAAATATATAAATATAAGATGAAATAAATTATACCAAAGTCAAAATAAATTGTCTGATCTGGCCTGGCACGGACAGTATTAGATTTCGGGGAAGGGAGGGTTTGATTCTCCCAAATGTACAGGCCTAGGGTGGAGCAGACACTTTATTTAGAAATTAGGATTAAGGGTCTTGATATTGGCTTTTTTTCTGTTCTTATTCTGATCTGAAATTAGAAAAAATAGCTCGCCCGATGGGCGAGAAGTATAGTATCTGTTATGTACTGATTGTTTTTAATTTACTATGAACAATATTATCATTTAAGTTCTTATTTTTTGAATATGCAACTATCATTTTCTGCTTATAGACATGGGGGAATTTCTCTTGAAGGCTCTGATAGTGGGCATGAACTATCTTGCTTGCTCGATTGCTGGTTGTATTAAACGGGACAACAAAGGGTGCTATGCCTACATTATGATGAATATTTAGTCCTATAGGTCTTGCTGTATTCAATGTCTCAATCCAATGGGCTTCCCTAGATTGACGGAATTTGGTAGTTTCATCTTCGGGCAAGTCAATTTCTATACGCTCAATTGGGATTAGGACGAGATCGTCTATTGAATGGTCGTCGAGGTTGAAATGATTAGAAACAGGCTTGTCTTTCTTTAATTTGATGTCTGACCTATGAGCATTAAAGCGAGTTCGTAAATTATTCTTAGTTTCTCCTACATATTGCTTGGGGCATTTCTTGCATGAAATTAAATATATTACATTCGAATGTTCACATGTTATTCGTAGAGTTGCTTACAAAATAATTAGTTTCTATATATAGTATAATAATAATTTAATATCTTTCATGCATACAAGCCTTTCGGTCAAAGTACAAAATTTATATAAATTTTTACAATAATATATAAGTTACAATAAGTTGATAAATAAATAAATATATTTAAGAAACAAAGCAAATAAATATTTGTCATGTATTTACAATAAAGTTTTATATACAATTTTCCTTCTTTTCCAAGCATAATAGATATATTTAGATACATTTATAATAGTGGATATATTTCGATTTCCTAAGATATTTACAAAATTTTGTTCATGTGAAGAACTTTTATATATATACTGCCTTAGATACTCTTCTCTTAAACTCTGATATAAATTACACTGCAGTAAAAAATGCACTTCATTTTCTTCTTCCCCTAATGTACATAGTTTACAAATATTTTCATTTAGACGTTTTGACCATTTACACTCTACAGACTTAAACAAATAACTACCACATCGAAATTTACATAAGGCATGTTTAAATTTATTTGCAATACTATAATATGATAAAAATCGTTCTGTATCTAACAAGGTCTTATATTTACAATAATTTTGAAGTCGTGAATTATTTACAATAGATGAGTTCCATTCTTGATAGCTATAATCTTTGATTCGTTGTTTGAAATTATGTTTAAATATATTTTTGTCTCCGACAAAAGTTTGCGATATCCAAACATAGCCAAAACCATGTTCAAAGAGCATAGTTTTAACATTGCTCACCCAAGATTTTCTTCCGGCGTTATCCAGACTTAACAACATATCGTAAGTTTGTTTTGGTAGTCTATGTTCTGGCATTTGTATTAGCCTAATCCAATATTTTACACATTTTAGGGAATACTGAACATAGAGAAGAGATCTCCCAATTTCTCCTAATACAGCCATATTACAAGCATATTTAGAGACTCTTAGAGTATATTTAAAATATTTAATCTGGACATTTTCGATTTTAGGACTCAATGTATAGCCCCACATTTCTGATCCATAAAGAAGTATAGGAACTAACATCTTATCAAAAATTTGAAATGCTGTATCAACAGAAATACCATTACATTTTCTTGAAATAGCCTTGATCATATTAAAAACCTTTTCTGTTTGTGTTATTTGTGTTTCTTTTGATTTCGTCCAACTTAATACAGGTGAAAAAACTACACCGAGATATTTGTAATATGATACAGTTTCTAATTCTATATTTCTGTATTTCCACTTTTCGTAATTACGAAGAGGGCCATCGTTTCGAAATACTATTATTTTTGTTTTTGTCGTGTTTATAGACATGCTATATTTTGCACAAAAGTTGTCTAAACAATTTAGCTGGAGCTGCAAATTATATACTGTATCTGCTATATTACTGATATCATCGGCGAACAGTAAGGAAAACGTATTTGGGAAGTTATTTGAAAGGAATACTCCCTTACAATTTAGTGATTCTAATTCACTTACATATTGGTTTATAAATATTGAAAACAAAAGGGGACTTAACATGCACCCTTGGCGAGTTCCTGTTTTACAGTCAAAGAAGTCGGTTAAACCATCTGAGGTTAGCACAGATGATTTATTTTTCGAATAAATATTGCGTATAATGTTCAGAAAATTACCATGGATTCCAGACTTAATTAGAACTGACCAAAGGAGATCATGTTGGACGGCATCGAAGGCGGTTTTGAAATCGATGAAGAGACAATATAAACGTCCACCTTTCTTAGAATTATATTTGCTGACAAAACCTTGGAGTGTAAAGATATGATCTATGGTGGAATAGCCATTTCGGAAACCAGCCTGATTTTCACTTATAATATTGTTATTTTCACACCATAGTCGTAGTCTTTCATTAAGACTTTCATAAAGATTTTGTTAAAAGATGGCAACAAGGATATTCCCCGGAAATTACTAGCAATACAAGTATCGCCCCTTTTAAAAATTGGACATATAACAGCTTTTGCCCATTCCGTGGGAAAATTACCAGAAGTCAATATTTCGTTAAATAATTTACAGAGCACTGGAGTTAAAGTCACGTGGCCAGTTTTAAACATTTCATTGCAAAACCCATCTAAGCCCGGGGCCTTATTTATTTTTATGCCTGCAATGGCATTTGACACCTCGTTTTCAGTAATATTGGCATTTAAGTCTTCTGGCAAGTTATCATTACAATCAATACACATATAGTCATCATGTTGATATAGAACATTATACAATTCACTGTCTGTATTTGGATTTTCTATATTAAGTAGTTCACTGAAATGCGCTACCCAGTCGTCTGGATGTATACATGTATCCAATGTTGGTTTATTTAACATTGATTTCAGATTTAACCAGAAATCTTTTGGGTTTCCTAAGTTACTTTGAAGTTTTTTGTGTAAGTGTTCGCCATAATTTTCTTTTTTCTTCTGACACAGATGTTTAAAACTATTTTTTTGAGATTTATAGGAGCATAGGTCCGATTCACTTTTTGTTTTGCGGTGTTTATTAAGAAGTAGATATTTCAGTTCTTTAGAATCTTGACATGATTTGTCCCACCATGGTTCCTGTTGCAACACTTTCTTGCGGCGTGAAGAGTTTTTGAGCATTGGCTCTGCAGCCCGCCCCAGTACCATATTTAGTTTTTCTATGGATTCATCAATGTCACATGGTTTTTCACTACATAGGTCACTTAATATTTCCTGTGCGTATGGGTCCGAAATTTTACTTAGGTAGTGGGCTTTAAAGTTGTTATTCCATTGATATTTAAAACTATTTGCGAGATTTGGACACCGTTCATAGTTCTGATTACTTATTATGTTCACTCTTAGATCACATTCGATATTGAAGTGGTCGGAATCGTCAATATGACCCACTTTAAAATCTGTAATGTGTGGGAACAGGTCTGAAGAAACCGCTATATAGTCCACTACGCTACGTCCACCGTTAGTTGTACAAGTGAAGTTTCCATTTATATCGCCATTTTTCCTACCATTTAAGATATGTACACCAAATAATTTACACATGTTGATAAGTTTTCTTCCAAAATTGTTTTCTATTGCGTCTAGATTATTTCTGGGTAGTTCAAATTTGTCGACATTGTAAACATTTTCCAGCTGAGGTAAATGGTTGACCGAATCGCTCACAGCATAATCCGGTATGGTACCAGTTCTGGCGTTAAAATCTCCAGCTAGAATTAAGTTTGCGTCTGGATAGTCTGCTTGTGCCACACTACGGATATTTTCTAAAATATCCAAGGTAGATATAAGATTTCCCAAATAATAGTTTGATCCTTCTGGTGAAACATATGTAAATACGAGGATAACATTTTTATTTGCACCAAAAAAGTTTTTATCGAGTAATAGTAGAACCATATCATTTGATTCTTTAAATATTCGTTTTACACCATTTTTTATTTGATTCGAAACAAATACGATAATTCCACCATGTTTGCGTTTTGTTCTACATGTAATAAAAGTCTTATGCGACGGCAAAAATGAATTTATCTCGTTTTGTTCTTTATATACCCATGTTTCCGTTAGTCCTGCAATGTCATATTTAGATAAGATATATTGAAGGTTTTTATTGTCAGTATGTCTAAAGAAGTTCTGACAATTCCATGCTAAGATTGAAACTGTCTGTTTTGAGGAAAATTCCCTATTTATTTGCTATTCATTTGAACACGCTAAAAGATTATTTGATTGTATGTCGATACTATATTTTTGATTTTCAATGTATAATTTGTCATATCGTATGAATGATTTTTTATTTTCTGATTTGGCTTTTATCAAATGGGGAACAAGGGCTTTTCTTATCTTTCGAATCCTTTCTGTGTAGTCATGAGATGCACTTATTTGTAAATTCGATTTTTTTGATTCTTTTCTGATTTCACTCAATACTAGTTCTTTAACTTTTAATCTGGTGAACGAAACTAGCATGGGTCGGGGTCTGGTTAGATTTGTTTTTCTCGTTCCAATTCGATGCACCCGTTCAATACCAATGATTTTGTCGTCACCAGAATCTTTAATATTAAGAGCAGTTTTCAGTAGATCTCTTATTTTTACTTCACAGTCCTCCGTATTATTTTGAGATTCGTTCACCCCATAGAAAATAGCATTGTTTTGTCTTAATCTATTTTCTTTGTCATCTATCTCTGTCTGTAAATCTCTATTTACCTTTAGACACTGAATTTCTTCCCTAATTTTGACCACTTCATCTTTAATATTAAGTTCTTTCATCTCCGTTTTCAGATCTAAAACTTCACTTCTTAAAGTCGATATATCTGCTCTAAGAGAATGCATTAACGCTGTCAATTCCCCGAGACCCGGGACGCTGGGATTGTCTTCTGTATTAGATGTGGGATAAACTAGCTGGCCTGAGCTTGATAGTTGGCTTTGTCTTGTTAAAGGGCCCGGGTTTACTTCTACATCACCTGACAGTACCAATAACATAGATATAACCAAAATTGTAGAAATAGTCAGACTACCTGTTGATATAGTGTCCACCTTTGTCTTCCCTCCGGCTGCCTTGTGGGAATAAGATCCAATATCTATATCCATCCTGTACTATTTAAAGTATGTAACAGTATATAATTCCTTACAAACTTTCACAATTTCAGTATAATGTTTCTTTATGAGCTAACACAAGAGCATAATGTCGTCACACTTGATTGGGTTTCACTGAGAGCTATTTCCACGTCCGTTCACTTCAAAATCTTTAAAATAAATAAATAATTCTGATATAAAGGGACATGTTTTGCATCTACTGGACAAACATGGAGCACTTCAATTAATTAACCCCTTTGGGCCCACTGGGGTAACAATTGTTCCGGGCCCATTTAAACCCCTGTGTTATTCTTTTATCCGGACGATTTTGTGTTGAGAAGATGTGCAACGACGTGCTCTTTCATTTGATATGCGGAAACCATAGCTTGGAACGAGCTTTGACCCTTTCCCGAGCTAACCCTAATTGATTTTCCAAAACTAGGGTTAACCCTAGGGTTAAGCCAGGGTTAACCCCAGGTCTCGGCGGTCCAGTGGGCTGGTAACTTGCCTGACAATGTTGGGTTTCCGGGTTCGAGTCCCTGTCGAAGCTTTTTCAAAAAATCTCTTTTTGCTAAGTCTAACAGCGTCTCTTCTGCCATTTTGAGTATACCAAAGTGGTCTGTGAAATCTAGCATGGGCTAGCCAGAGCTGAAACAAAATAGTCCACTTTTATTAACCCCTTTGGGGAAACTGGGGTAACAATTGTTCCGGGCCCATTTAAACCCATGTGTTATTCTTTTATCCGGACCGAGCTTTAACCCTTTCCGTAGCTAAACCTAATTGATTTTCCAAAACTAGGGTTAACCAAATCGTCCACTTTTATTAACCTCTTTGGGCCCACTGGGGTAACAATTGTTCCGGGCCCATTTAAACTGACAGTCTGACAGCGTCTCTTCTACCAATTTAAGTATACTAAAGAGGTCTGTGAGAGCTAGGATGGGTGCTATGTTTAGAAATCCTGACTAATTTTTTGGTCTAGATTTGGAATAAATGTCTGAAATTGCATTTTCTTTCAGATTGTGCGAGATGATGAGAGATTTTCGGAAGATAATTCTGAAATAAGTCGTTTTGTGTGCAGTGATAGTCAAGAGGATGTTGATAAAATGTAGTGGTCTATTTTCAGTTTGACTAGTTCAAGATTTTCATGGTCATGAGATATTGAATTTTTGTTTGCTAGGCATTGGCCAAGCTTATATGGAAAGTTTTCAACGAGATTTCTAGAAAAAATTATAGAATGTTGAATTTCGAGATTAAACATGGAAACAGAAGTCAAATGAATAACCGGAGTTGGTCCATAAAAAGCTGGAATTTTGAGTAAACTCCCTCGTCCAAAAAAATTTCTTGATACAACTTTCGTTACTGGCCCTAGTTTCAATTATTGCGAATATTAACTTTCAGTCATAGCCCCAGCCGTTAAGTTTATTCACTATTTGATGAAGATGAAAGTTTGAGGATGGAAGTCAAATTCCGGAATTCTCACCGACCTTTGCCCCACTGCATTATTTCTACATGTCCTGTTTCCATTTTTGCTCATAATTTATCAACTACTCAAGGAAGCGGAACAATAAAAATACATAGCACCATATATGGCAGTAGATTTAGAATTTATTGATGATATAAGTCCTTATTTCTTATATACAGGATCTTAAACGAATACTTTTTCTTTTTCATTTTGAGGTCAGCCTCTTTATTTTCAACGAAAAAAGAATGTCACGTGTTTCTGTTAACATAGCGCATTGGATACGTAGTCTTATTTGCATAGTTATCAACCTGTGCTACGACTTCATTTCTTTTTTATGAACCTGTCTTGTGTACCCGAGTATCGAACTGTTGTGTGTTAATACAAAATAGATCATTACACAGTTAAAAATTTATTCTATCAAGTGATAATAAATAAAATCTAGACTATGAATAATTTGCCTGGCAACAAAAGCTGAAGAGATAAATTGCAGCAAAAGCATTGTATCACACGGGAAAAGTTACCCGAAAACAGAATATGGAATTGTAGGATAGCGGAAATCAAATTCAGAGAGTCTGTCATCTTCCGTTACTTCAGGTTTCGATATTCCACATTTCATATTTTATCAAGAAGCGGATTCTACGTGACACGCTTTGATTCGTTGAAATCTATTTCAAGTGCAATTTAGACTAAAAATATCAGAAAACTTTATTTTACTTAAAATTGTAATCTAACTGTAATCATGCCAAAAACATAAAATGTACGTCATGGTCCTATATTGTGTCACGTGCCAATCTGGACGCGGTAGAACCCGGTCGTCGAAATCAAAGGAAGATAACAAAATCTCTAATTCTTTAACAACAATTTTCCACAGTTTTCTAAAGCAACATCCCAAAAGCAGCCGTCGGAAATGATAACAAAGTCTTTACTGGCTTAGTTTCAAATAATCTTTAAAATATTAAGTCAAAAGTCAGGTCAAAACCTTAAAAATAGTTCATAAAATTCAAACATGAACGAGGTCTCGTCGATGTACACACAAGGGCAATAACTCCGAAAGATTATTACCAGATTCGAACTTGACCGAGATCTCAACAATATATACATGCATACAAAATGTAATCAAGATCAGATACGTTATACGCCTTATGTCTTTCAAATATTTCCATGTTAAAATACACCAAATATATTGATTTGAAAATAAAAATAAAAGCCATTAAATCATATTAAAAGGATATGGTCCACTATAATAAATAAATATATAAACCAATATAATATAAAAATACAATACGATCATTATAATAAATATACAGCTTAATTACTTTTTGACCGATTTATATCGACCAATAATAGGAATTGGCGTACGAGGCGGAGCAGACGAAGGAATGTTATTTGCGTCTTGAATACAGCCTTGCTTCTCATAATGTAGTAACAAGGCTCGCCAAGTTGTATCACATTTCAACATATTCTTATTACCTGCAAAATAAAACATTGGGTATATAATGATAATTGCTTATTGGCTCTCAAAAAAACTCAATGATCATAGCCTTCTAGGGTAGGTTAACCGGAAAACATCTTCTTCAAGTCCCTAAAAACCTGATGTCAAGCCTTATATCTGCCTCTCTCAGATGTTGAGCTCAAAACTGTAGCTTCAAGGTAACGTCCAAAAAGCTACATAATGTGAATATTAAGAACGTTGACAAGATTCACGAATGGAAATAACAGATATGTTGATATAAAATCACCATTTCATCAGAGCCTTACCTATAATCAATAATCCCTTCCTCGCTCTTGTAAGAGCAACATTGGTTTGATTTTCATCAGCTAAAAATCCAAGATGTTCTGATGTCCATCCTCGAGTAGGAGACGGTTCAATTTTATACAAAGGTAGAGAACGCACGGTACTTAAAATAACATAATCCCATTCACCACCTGGAATAAAGATATGAGGAGGTGTTAAGTAATCTATTTCTGATTAGTTTTCAGGGACTATACAATCTTACTTAGGTTTAGACTCTCACTAGTCACATCTAACCATATCGGTAATCTCGACTTTGTTTGAATGATGGAACTGTCCGCTAGTTAAAGCAGCTCTTTCGTAGACAAACCAGACATCGATTTTGTACAATAAGAGTGAATAGAATAAGTTTCATCGACTGAAAAATTAATTGAGTACCATGTTCCTCTGATATTTTGAGTTTGGTTGATATTATGGAAGTCAATTTGACCAAATGTAGGTTGTAGAAATAAATATATGCATGTTCAAATGTATCTGTTATCAGGGAGCCACAACGAGCTATTTCATACATATTTACAAGAAATTAATAAAATAATTGATAACAATTCTACATGAAGTATTCTAAAGCAGCAAAAACTTCTTCTAACCTTGGCTGGCTACAACTGTATTTACAGTGTCGTCGAAGTTATATTCTTTGAGTTTCTTCTGAATCAAAGACATCTGTGATTTGTATTGTGTCATGATATTGATACTTCTTGGATTGATATCTTCATTCCTAACCATGTGTCGAAATAAGTCCACCTAAAATACAATGGAAAGTAAAACTGACGATTATCATCATGAATATATTCATTAATCATTTCCAATAGAGTGAGTATAGTAAGAATATAGTCAAGGAGACATCATGAGAGATAGAACAAAATGATAATCATATAGCTTCCACTAAGATAACATCTAAAAATAATGTCATCATAGGCCCTTTGTTAGTCAAATGAGTTCCGATGGACATAGATGTGTGTAACTGCTAAAAAAGGTTTGTGATGATTAACGGCATATATAAGAGACGCAGCTTACAATAAAACAAAAAACACAATGTAAATTCAAGTTTGTGTCAAACTAAAAAAATAATTAAATAAAATTTTTTTAACCAAAATCGCTATACAATTGTTTGTATATTAAAAGCAAATTTGTCGTTGTGAGAATATTATTACAGTGTTGAGTCTTCGATGTTAGGAAAAAATTAAACGAAATATAATTTGATAAGTGAAGGGATAATTATGTACATAATATTTCCCAGCATCAAAAAAGTATAAGGGTGAATTGAGAAGAATCTCAATGAAAGGACTTGCCTAGGTCATAGTTACAGTGTTAATATTACTTACAACTTTATCAACTTCCTGAATATTGGACTTTGATCGTTCGTGACCATCATCAGTGTGTACTGTTAGTGCTTCTTCTTCTCCTTCTATATGGAAAAACATAATCTTTTTTCCACCAATTATCCTTAAAGGCTGTTTAATCTCCCATAATGTAGATGGTCCTGTTTCTAGTTTACCTTCATAAAATTGCTTGGATGGAAATGCACATATATCAGGGTGCTGAAAAAGGTTCAACTGAAGTCTTAACTTATAAATAATTAATAAGATCAAATTATTATGTAAAGCAGAAATGTTCCAAATTTTATGAAGAGAGTTAATCAAATGCGCGAACTTCAGGACGAAAATATATTTTTAAGACATTGACCAATTTAACCGATTGAATCAGCGACTTCTACATAAATAATATGATAAAAACAACCCTTACGTACCATTCTGTATTGGATATTAAGAAAAATGGCCTTTTTAGCATATCTCTCAAACAATGACTTTTCTAGACCAAGTTTAGCGGCTTTAGAGCACATCAATATTGGGCGAAGTTGTTTATGGTCACCAATTAAAACAAGCTGGTTGGGTTTGGCAACAAGAATTGGTAATAAAGTCTCTGGTTCAGTACACATGCCACATTCATCAATTATACATTGGAATACTTTAAGACTTTTCATCGTTCTCCTGTTACCACCAACACCAGTTGTACACAAAATTGCTTCATATAATGGCAACTCTTCTTCTTCAGCTTGACGGACAAGTTTATGGTATGTCTTTATCATCATTTTGGTTATTCCCTGTGATTCCTTTTTAAACTTCTCGTCAAATTCACGAATTTTATCTGCATACGGTTTACCTTTTTGTCTAATGATATGGTGAAGAGCAACATTATGTAAGTCTTCAGGGCATTGTCCTTCTCTCCTTGTAGCTCTTGCGGGTGAAGCTTTGCCAGGCACAGGAAAATCGCCATAAACTACGGTCTTGCTATAAACTCGAAGTATTTTTGGGCATCTATTTCCCAATTTTTTTATAAGATTACCTGAAAAGAATATTTGACAACTTCGCAATCACTCAGGAGACAACTCCTTACATATTATCGCATGTACTAATCTAAATTTGTATAATTTTGCCATAGTTAATTTTCAGGAATTCCGAAGACATTATTTTAATCCATGTTTCACATTATTAGGATTTTTTGCCCCAATCTACAATTGGGTAAATGGCATTTTCGATTTATAAATTAAAAAGCTGCATAAAATATACGTCCATAATTACAAAACGATTTAAGATAAATCTTTATTACCCTTTCGGGAATTTTTGAGTAATGCAAGGCTGACAAAACAAAAGGGAACTAACATGTAATACATAGTTTGGACATACGAAACATTTGTTTGGACATACGAAATATTGTTTAATAAATTAATAGAATATGGAATAAAGGAATTGTTTGCCCTATTTGTACTGAGTTTTGGTACTAAATACCGTTTTCCTGGACGTAGTAAATTGAATTCTGAGTTTAGAAAATGGTTTGGATCTTCAACTTTATTTTGAGAAAGCTTCAGAACAGATTCATTGTTTAGAATGTTGAGTGAGGTGCACTTTATACCAATGATATTACTTGAGATATTTACTATTCGGTTAAGTTTTGTCCTATTCTTTACTGAAAGAGAAGCATGTCAACACTGTATTGAAAAACATAAAACACCCTGGATAAATGAGGAGTAGAAACGTGAAAGAATGTTCTTAATACATTGAAAGAGCGGAGTTTTCGAAGGAAATAATGTCGTTGCTGACATTTATTGTAAAGTCGATTAGTGTTTGGGATCCAAGTTAATTTATCATCAATTATTGTACCTAGGTATTTATATTCAGTTACAAATTCAACTGTCTGGTTATTTAATATTTATCATCAATGGTTGGATCTCTGTTTTGTTTGTCCGGAAGTCTGTGATAAGTTCTTTGTTTTTTTGGTGTTCAATTGCAGGAAGTTTGATTTACACCAGTCTACGAAATTTGAGACATCTGACCGGTAAAGCACATCGGATTTAGTGTCGTCGTTTAATAAGCCTACAAAAGCGGCGTCATCCGCAAACTTGACAGTGATACAGTTTCCTGAAATGCTTACACAGTCATTTGTGCATAGAATGAATAGTACTGGCGAGATGACACAAGCCTGTTGGACCCTTGTATTTGTGACAGCAATGGAGAATATTGATTCGTTGACTTTAACATATTGGATTCGATTTGTGAGAAAGTCACGAATCCACAGTATTAGAAAGGGATTAACATTCAAGATTTGAAGTCTTTGTATCATCAGGTGTGGTTGGATTGTGTTAAAAGCAGAACTAAAATCTACAAAGATAGCTTGCGATGCAAGGTAACATACGCCCACTGGCAGCTGTCAGAAATAATAAAACAGTGAGTAAAGTACGAATTTTCTCTTTATGAAGAAATTATTTATGCTGAATAATTCCACAAAATTTTTTAAAATCAATATCAATAACCCAAATACAACAAACAATTAAATCACACAGTTCTAATCAGGGGCAAAAAACAACTTTTGGCGCGTGTTTACAAAGTCAAGGGCAATAACTCAAAAAATGTTCATCAAAAATATCTCTTGTTAGAACTTGTCCGAGATCTTATCAATTCCAATGATCACACTAAGTTTCATCAAAATCGGTTGAAAACTGTAGCTTCTATTGTGCTCACAAAAAAATTTTGACGCGTTTTTACAAAGTCAAGGGCAATAATTCAAAAACCAAGTTCGAACTTGTCCGAGATCTTATCAATTCCAATGATCACACCAAGTTTCATCAGAATCGGTTGAAAACTGTAGCTTCAATCCTGCTCACAAACTATTTTTAACAAATTTCGACGCATTTTAACAAAGTCAAGGGCAATAACTCAAAAACCGTTCATCAAAAATGCGTCAAGTTAGAACTTGTCCGAGATCTTATCAATTCCAATGATCACACCAAGTTTCATCAGAATCAGTTGAAAACTGTAGCTTCAATCCTGCTCACGAACTATTTTTAACAAATTTCAACACGTTTTAACAAAGTCAAGGGCAATAACTCAAAAACCGTTCATCAAAAAGCGTCAAGTTAGAACTTGTCCGAGATCTTATCAATTCCAATGATCACACCAAGTTTCATCAGAATCGGTTGAAAACTGTAGCTTCAATCCTGCTCACGAACTATTTTTAACAAATTTCGAAGCGTTTTAACAAAGTCAAGGGCAATAACTCAAAAACCGTTCATCGAAAATGCGTCAAGTTAGAACTCGTCCGAGATCTTATCAATTCCAATGATCACACCAAGTTTCATCAGAATCGGTTGAAAACTGTAGCTTCAATCCTGCTCACGAACTATTTTTAACAAATTTCGAAGCGTTTTAACAAAGTCAAGGGCAATAACTCAAAAACCGTTCATCGAAAATGCGTCAAGTTAGAACTTGTCCGAGATCTTATCAATTCCAATGATCACACCAAGTTTCATCAGAGTCGGATGAAAACTGTGGCTAAAATCCTGCTCACGAACAATTTTTAACAAATTTCAAGGTGTTCTAAGTCAAGGGCAATATCTCAAAAACCGTTCATCGAAAATATGTCAAATTCGAACTTAACCGAGATCTTATCAATCTTAAGCATCACACAAAGTTTTATCAAAATCAGATGAAAACTGTAGTCTCTATAGTGCTCACAAGAAATGTTGACGGACGGACCGGACTGGGGCGACGACAATATACGACCACATATTCATGTGGGCGTATAAAAAGTACTCTGGAATACGATCTACATGTCTCCAAGTGTTTATAGATGTTATTCAGCAGAGAAGCAGTTGCATCAGTTACACTCCTTTGTGACCTGTATGCAAATTGAAGTGGATCCAATGCCCGACGAGATTTGTTGCTTCAGTATGTCGAGAATAATCCTTTCAAACGACTTCATAAGAATGGAGGTCAAGGCGACTGGTCGGTAATCATTCGTTTCCCTCGGATTTAGTTTCTTGGGAATTGGAATGATCTGTGATGTTTTCCATAAGGCTGGGATTGAGTGCATATCCAGTGACAATTGAAAAAGTCTACAAAATATGGAGCAAAGTTCCTCTTTGCATTCCTTAAGAACTATTCCGGGAATACTGTCAGGGCCGGTAGCCTTTCTTATATTTATGTTTGGTTCGTCTGTGATAGTAAAACCTTCTCTGTCTGTGACGTCAATAAACATTGATCTAAGTTCATTGGAGAAATCAAAACAATCAAACGAGCCTTACAAATGTCATAAAATGAGTTGGGTAACTCACAGAAATAATTTTGAGCTGTATTTAATTTTGATTGCTTTGAACATTTCATTATTATTTACAAGTACTAAACTTACGTGCTACAACATCAACTGATTTGTTAGAAGGACCACAATACAAAACTTGGTTTCTACCATCCATTGTTTTGTCTCCCTTTTTGGCTGGTTCTTCTAGCTTAATGATCTTATTAATCTTAGTGAAGAGATATACTAATTTAATACCAGTATACGTTTTCCCAGTTCCTGTATATAAAATCATTCACAAACATGAAAACACGAAAACAAGGTTTAGACAAATAATACCATGCCTTTGCAAAGGACAAGAGGAACGCTTCGCCATTTTCTGTATTTTCAAAATTACTAGAACTGCACGGTAATCGCATAATCTCTCCTGTCTTTTTATACATGGTGGAGAACGAGTCGTCATTTTAACTTTGAAACGCAGATAATTCTGGACACACCTAGATTTGAAGGTTCAAATTTCGACGGTGAGATGTGAACACTATTACTGATACCCGTTTTTGAGATTAAGATACGATTGGTCAAACGATGATGTTCTATTCTGGAAACTTACATTTCAAATGAACTCTGTTTGCACAAACCACATGAAAAGTAAATAAACCAGACCAGAAGTATAAAAATGAAGTTATGAATTACCAACCTGGAGGACCTTGTATCAATGTGAATGCTGATGTTAATGATTTCTCGATAGCCTCACATTGTTTTATATTGTTACCAGGTAATTTGAGGATCTGCAGTTCCTCTTTGGGTAAATCTTTTTCGATCTTCTTTCCCAAATGAAGGTGATCACGGTCTATGAAAACACATAATATACATGTACAACGTTTTTTCTTTTCCATCCCAACAAACCCATATATAAAAATAACAAGCCATTTCTATTACAGATTCTTGATTTATCAATAATATTTTTAGTAACTATCGTACATAACTCAAATACAACTCAAATAGTTCAAATCGATATTCTCGGGTTTCGTCCGCAACATGATTGTTCGGAGGGGCAAGTACTATGTCATTTTTTCGGGGGATTCCCCCCCCCCCCCCCCCTTGCTCACATATAGCTACGGGTCTACGGATGTATTAAAAGCTTACCTAACATTGGTATTGGGCTGTTTAAAACTATTGCTTTGACTAAAGGGTTACTCTCGATTACGTTCTTTTTGAGGACCTCTTTGAGTCGCCTGGAAAAGAAAATGGTAATTCAATGTCATCACATAGTCAGGGCCTTCTATTGTTTGTACATCAATGTGATATTTTCATCAAGCGCAGTCGTCAATCTGTGTCAAATCGTACCAAAAATCTAACTATTGTGTTCACAAACAAATTTTGACATAGTCAAAGGCAATAACTCAAATTCTGTTCATCGAAAAGTCTTTAACCTCTAACTTGACCACGATCTCATTGTTATAGATGATCAAACCAAATTTCAAAAAAATCAGTTGAAAACTGTAGTCTACAGTAATAACCTAGAAACCTATCATCGAAAATTCTTCAAATTCGAACTTGACCAAGATCTAATCATTATTAATGATAACACTGGATGAAAAAATCGGATGAAAACTATAGTCTTTATTGTGTTCAAGAAAAAAATATTGACGCGTATTTCAATTAGTCAATTATGGACTGACGTACGGACAGGGGTGACGACAATATAAAGAGAATGACATCCTTATTTCTATTAGCCTAGTATAAAAACGTAGTCGCAATTGTGTTCACAAGAAATTTTGACGGACGACGGAAAGGGGCGACGGCAATGCACGTCCACATTTCTATGTGGGTGTAAAAAATTTGAAAATATAACCAACAAACCTGTCTGTTTCTGATCTTGGTATTATCTCGAGAGTGAAAACATCCTGTGTTCCTATATTTATTACATCTCTCATTTTTGCACATGTTTCTGTGCCATGAAGTTCGAAATAAACCTCCAATTCATTTGATTCCATGTAATCTTCCCTTTTAGAACAATATACCATTTGCCCATGACCTACCCAGATAAAGGGATTGTCAGAGTCTTGAGCTACTTCTTTACGGATACAGACAAAGTCAGTTATAGGCTTTCCCTCTTCATCTTTACTAATGTGAATACCACCTAATACGTCCCTGTCTGAACAAAATGAATGGTTTAAAGTGAAGCTACCAGAATCTTGTGTTGTAAAACGTACTGGGACGTGTTCAATGAAAAATGTGTCACCGCCTTGAACACTTTGAACTGCAGCTTCCATTTCCACCAGGGCTGACCATGCCTTCACATATTCTGATATTTTCATCCACTTTCTTTCTTTTGTCGACTCAAAAGACTCCTTAGTAAGGCAGGTCACAGGATCATCTTTATGTTCCAAACAAAATATCAAATTATCAGCTAGTTTGACCATAGTAAACTTAGGTTTTGGAAGTCCCTTTTCGAAAACAGTCGATAGCTGAGTACACAGAACCCGACCAGGAGCAAACTTGAAACTGAACCTGAATAACATTAAATTAAATTAACACTATTTGGGTTCTTCCGAAGTTGTGTCCTGCTGATTGGCATCAGAAGATAAGATAAGATCAATCTTTATTACCAATTTGGGTAAAAAAAAAGTGAGAAAGGACATTGATTACATAAGTAGTTAATCAACCAGTTAGAAATATGGTTAAATAATGAGATGGAATTACACCAACTCTTTAACTTTAAACGATAGATCTCAAAACTAGACATGAGTAAAACTCGATGAAAACTTACCTACACATATCCGTTAATGATGAAATATTACTTCGACCACCTTCACAGGTAACTTTATCTACAGTTCCATATAATGTCCCTATGGGATTTATTCCCTCCATGCCAATTTGATCAATTATTCTTTCGACTTCCTTTTTACACCGCTTACTGCGTTGTTTGTCCTCAGATTCAGTCGATGATATAAGATTGGTGAGAAGGTCCGCCCACATTTTTAATGGTATGTATAGGCAATGTTTGATAGGGTTCAGTTGTAGTTTTTCTCCCCTTTTCATTTGAGGGCGGACATAGCCAACTGCCCCTTGAGTGTGGAAGCTTCTCTTTCTCCAAGAGGTTTCTGTAAGTGTATCTTTTACAGTTGGTCTTTCGCAAACGTCCAGTAAATGAAATGGTATATCATTATTCGCTATCAAAGATGGCCATTGAGGTATTTCAATTTCCACCCCGTCATTATCGGCTTGACTGATAAATCCTATAATCAGGGCCGGTTGGTTTGTTAACTCATATGCTAATTTTAGAGTTTTGCTGTGCTTTCTATACAATTTCTGTTGTTTTGTTCGTCGACCAAGATGAAGGCTTATCATTTGGAGCTCGTGGGTAGTATATGGTGCTTTCTTTTTATCCAAATAGGCGTGGATAAAGCGATGATTGATTAAATCAACAAACCGTCTCAACGGTGAAGTGAAATGTGTGTAAAGATTGAAGTTTAATGTAAAATGATGGGAACCTGTTGCCCGTGCTCCAGAGCATAACTTATACTCCGCTGATTCCATTATCCCATTCCAACGTGTCCGAGCAATAAAATGGCTTGGGTGTATATCATCCATACAGAGAATACTTTGCAACTTTTTCCAATCTTTTGTTTCCTTTGCTCTCAGGACTTCTGTCCAAACTGATTTCTGGACTGTCAGATGTCCGTCGGAATGATTATTGTCCAAGGATAGTGATGAATTTCCAATGCTGCTTTGACAAGAATAACCTTGTAAGTTAAGAATCAAATTACCAACCGGTTGATTTTGACCAAACCATTGGACAAGTTTTTTGTCGTCTGGTGGTTGTTGAACTCTAAGCAGTACTCCATTTGGGAATTGTTCTGTAATTATTTGGCCAATATGACAATTTGTCATTATCATATATTCTTCCACTAAATCGTGAGCTTCTGTTTCATTTTCACCGCGAAGAAAGCCATCACTATACTGAACATGATAGAGTCTTTTTTTTAAACGAGAACGTCTGATAGATTTAGACAGCCTGTACAAATCAGTTATCATACCATTAATCGTATCGGAAAATCCATCTCGGTAACCATTGATAATTAGTTGTGCTTCATGATATGTCAACTGTTGCATGGAGCGAACAAAAGATCGTTGAATTACTGGTTCGTTAAGCTGTTCACCGTTGGCATCCAGTTTAAAAATCACAGAAATCACACGACGAACCTCTCTCTCTTGAAGGCTACACCTATCTTCGCTCAATGGTTCAGGGAGCATATGAATGGATCTGGAATCTTCTGGATAAAAGCTTGTCGCTCTTTTTTCAGCCTCCTTATCAATCTCAGAGCTTTTTACTACAAAATGGGCTACGTCTGCAATATGAACGCCGACCTCGAAAATGTTTTCAGATAGCCTTGTTATATGAAGTGCGTCATCTAGATCCTTTGATCCCTTTGGGTCAATGGTCAATACATCAAAGTCATGGCTCGGTACAGAGTCATCTTTCTTCATACCCACAATTTCCTGGATTACTTCTGATGGGTAAATAGGGTCAATAGCAAATTGATTTCCAAGTATCTTAAGACTTGCTTGATAATCCTTATAGTTTTGAATTACGTCTATAACCATTCCTTTAGGATAGGCAAATTTGGGACTCCAGTTCAAATACACAACAACAAAAATATACTGTTGTCTTTTAGCAGGATTTATGGTAAAGAAATGAGAAAATTTGAATGATTTGTTCATGTCAAACTTGTATACTTCTATCTTGGAATTGGGAATGTTGGAAAATCTTTTTAAAACTTTATTATGGACAATGCTTATTTTAGGGACAGTCTTGCAGATAGGTACCATCAAATGGGCTTCTTCTCCAGTTATTGTACATAAAAAGACAGGATTTTTTGTATCAGACCTATTTCTTTTGAAAATCCCAACAACTTTACCACAGTCTTTATTGTTGGCTTTACCGATAATTTCTACACAGACCTCATCACCAGAAAATGTTTGTCCGCATTTAGATCTACCATTTATCACTATCTGCTCACCAATTGGATTTTCTGTTGTAGTACATGTAGCTGATTGTGATGAATCCATATTAATGACACATTTCTTATATTTCACAGGATTTGCTTGAATATTCTGTTCCATTTCAACCCTTGTCATCATTGCAGGATAAAATATTTCCCAATTTGTCAAATGAAAATCGAAGCGTTCCGTTAAATCTACATCATACTGAAGACAATGTTCTGTTTTCTTTTCATGTCCTTCCATTACCTTGATACTAGTTTCATACCAGGTTTCTTGTGGAACAGAAACTTCCTCATCTGATATTGGTTCATCCTGATCCACGTCTGACTGAGAATAAGAGAACAGTGATAGATTATCTGTGCTTGGGGCTGTGGTTAAACTGTAAGTGTCACTATCGATAAAATCATCCGACAAATCACTTTCTGTATCTACAATAAATAAACAGATGTGCAGTCATTTGGAATAATAATTCAAAATACTTCTATGTCTTATATATTCAAGGTGTAGGGGAATATAGCATAAGGTAAAGGTATTGATACTGAAATATTGTTTTTGTTTAATCCCCATTCGGTAATTATGAGTAAACGAGAGAAATAATCAGTCAAAAAGGAAATTTTTTATTATCTTTTATTTTTATCAGATAGCCACTTCAGTTAGCGTCTAACGACAGCACTCTTGAACGTTCGTCAAATCAACCTGTTGATCTAACCTGATAAACACCGCGTAAAAAAATGACAGAGGGTTAAAATTTGATTGATGAAGTGGGGTCAATTTTGCAATTACATTTGGATAAAATATATTATTACCACTTATCGGTGTAATTGTTGACAATTCTACATTTTGTACTTTATTTTCAGATTTGTTTTGTACATTTTCATCTTCATCTGGTGTCACCATTTCTTGTTTCTTATCTATTAATATACAAAAGAAATATGGTATCACACGCTCGTGCCATAAATAACAATTTCGTGGCGTTCTTTTTCATATTTAGCGGCACCTAGTAAAATATGATTAAGTTAATTCTTTTACAAGAACTTGTCGAATTGAAACTCTGCCTCAGTGGTCAAAAGTTAAACGCACATAACTAGAAGATCCTAGATTCCAACACTTCCGGTCGACTAAAACTAAATATGATGCATTTAGGTGGCAACTGCTACTGTGAATCTATAACCTGACCAACCACTATCAGTTGTGATGACTCATTAATGATCTGTTAGTAGATCCTGTGATTTACGGGAATGTCGGCCATAGGAGAATTGAGTTGAGATCAATGTTCCGACAATAAATAAATCTTACATCTTCGTCTTTTCTTCTTGCGATGACGGGACCGAATATCATTTTGACGCTCTTTGTCTTTCCTTAAGTTATCATCAACTAAATAAGAAGCCCCGACTGACTCTCGAGTTTGGATAGTTCGTTGAAATTTTATCTTTAAGCTCTGAAGCTCTGATTTCTTGTCTGTATTCTGTGAGAAGTAACATGTATTACATACAAGATAAAACATTTCTTAAAGCTTGAAAAAGAGTTGTGTAAATAAATTACTGACGTGTGAACAACAAAATTGGGTAAACGGTATTACTGTATATCGTAGTAAATGGTTTCAAAGGGTCATTCCGTTTTTTTGTAGGTCGAATACTTTTTTGCTCAAATTTGTTAAAACTATACACCAAAATCGAGAGAAATGTGTCCCCTAACATATCTGAAGCTGCTAGAAAGCTACAAGTAAAATAAACGCCTAATTTTTGATTAATCTGTCTCCTACGTGTTCTAAAGGTTTTAACTAATAATATCGAGCCATAATAGAGCCAAACACCAAAATCTCGTATTAAACCTTATACCAAAACTAGGTCAAAATCCTTAATTTACACTTAGTACTCTCAGTTTTTAATTAACCCTTTAAAAACTAATTCAGTTTGATCAAGTGGAGACATAGATATAAATAGCATATTTTAAGGTATAATTTACGACGTTTTTGATAATAAAAATGTTTTACAAAAAAATTGGAATGTCCCTTTACGGTATCTGAAAATGGGGTCAAATTTTTGAATAATGGGGTCATCTGGTTTTCACTTCGACTTTGAGGCTGGTGCGTTTATTTGAAGGTGTATATAACATAAAATCGTATTTGTATTGTTGCGTTTTTCTTGCTTAGGTCCAATAGGTCGTTGGTTAATAGCGCTCGTGTCTTGCAAGTTGCAACACGTTCAGTTCTAGAAGGGATTCTGAAATCTAATTTAACATTAATCTAACAATAAATTGAATGAAAACATTTGTAGTCTGTACCTGGCATATTTCAATAGCTTCATCAATCCTAGCTATAGCAGCTTCTCTTCTGTTTAATTTTTCAAAAGACCTAGCTATTGTTTCTAGTGCTTGAATCTTCTGATCTGTATGTTCCATATCAAATTCAGTAGCTACTTTTAAAACTGTAGAAAAAAGAAATAAATAAATGAATTATTCCGCCTTTTTATCGAGTTAACTCTATAATTTACTATTTCGCTCGATCTATATTTTGTTAGCTTAATGGCAACACAGTGGAACCTCAACATTTCGAACTATTGGACAGATGAATTGTTTTAAATGATCGTTATGAAGAGAACGCATACAAACCTGCTTTACAACCAGCGACTGCTCTATCAAAATCACCCTTAAATTCAAAATGTAAATAAGGTATTTGGAGGTATATAATTATATCATAATGTCATAGCGTCAATGTTAATATCTGCATGCGTTAACGACAATAACGCCCTGTACGCTTTTATTCAACTATGAGAAAATTGGACGCCTAATTTTAATTTTGAAATGTGATTCGAATAGCTGTTGTTGAGATCTATTAACTAGTAGATTACCTATAAATACGGTTATACCCCTTCAACACTCCCAATATGAACATTTTTAGAAATTTCGAGGGTGCACTACTTACCAATTTGAACATAGCTTGTCCCATATTGTTATATATTTGAATAGATATTATGGACAAAACAAATGGGTTAATTTTATATATTCCAATTACATGAATGGCTTGTAGTACAGTATTTAGTTCGCGACTTATACCGAAACAGGCTGCGACATCGTCATTGTCATGAGATTGTAACTTCGTTATGGAAAGGATTTCTTGGCAGAACTTAATCGTACTCTAAATTAGTAAATAAAAAAGAAACATTTTGACATGCTAATTGTATAAAGATAAATGCTTGTATCTACTCTGCGCGGCATACGCCTACAAGACGTCACATAAAATACAAATAAAACACCAGTTGGCTAGGTTGCAATGCCCATTAGATATTTATATTCTATAAACTATTGTCAGCGTGTCACTCGTGTATGCAGATAACAGGAACTGGATGGAAATCAGAATATCCTGAGGATTCTTGCATATAGCTTTCAAAGCATGTTATATAGTACTGGTGGAGTCAATGTTAAATTTGGACATAACTCTCGACACACCTTCACACTTTGGTCGAAGGTAGCTGTACTACACAGCAGGACCGTAGCCAGACTTGACTGGAAGGGCAAGTAATGTATCACGAGAGTGAATGGTGTATGGTGTTCAGTTGCAGTAATGGAGGGGGGAGGAAATTCATTTTGAAAGGCATTGATCCCCTTCCTCCCTGTAGCTACGGGCCTGCTAAACAGACAACGCCTTTGTCAATGATAACAATATTTTTGTTAAGTCATACCTTTCCTAGTGTCTTAGAACTTTGTATTGTATCCTGAAAAAAATCAAAATACATGTCTAACTTGTTTGTCAAACGTTAAAGGCTTCAATATTTTTTTGTCAGTGTTTGGCCGAAGTCTATGTGACAGATCTGTTTTGAGCAGGAAATAATCTCGCACAAAAAGCCTTAAAAAGTGAACACGGATGGTAATTTGAATACACCCTGATGTGACTAATATAGTTTTATTTTTCAATTCTTATTGTATAAGGAAATTGTTAGTCTTGACTAATTTCAAAAATCATCAACTCACATTCTTTATTTTCTCAATTAGAAGGTGATATACTGAAGATCGAAATAACTCAAGGGATTGAGCGGTCACTTTAATAGTTTTCCCTTCGTTTCGTTCCGAATAGAATAAACCCATTGCATTCAAACCTGAAATTTGAATTTGAAATAGAAAAGTTATATTTTGCCAAGTTCTACTTGGGCATTATAGTCGCCTTTCAGATATGTTCAATAGGCCTACCTATTCTTCCTTTGTCTGTAGTGGAAATTTTGACAAATTTTAAATTTGGCGACAAGATCAGATCAGAAAAAGACAAATTTGGGATTCCTTACTGGGATGTAAGGATTGCAAGTATCATTATCAGCTCTGAAGGGTACGAACCGTTGAAATGAATCACCAAATTCCAATGCAATGATTAAATGCTAGATGTTTTTTGTTCTGGTAAAATTATGTTTCGTTTGACTATAATTATGTTGGGATTGATTATACTCACCATAGAATAAATATCTTAAACAAGATATGAAAACATTGTCACTGAACTCACACTGAAATTTAAAAAAAAAACAGATTGCTAAACAATTTAATAAACAGGAGTGTACTTTCCAAAAAGTAGTTGCTCACATAGTCGAAAATTAACTGACATCTTTATTGACTTCCAAAGACTAATTCGATTGGCCAATCGAAAACATAATTCAATTTTCATTGTGAATTTAACATTATGAGCCATTTCCAATTTATTTAGTCAATAAGATCTTAAATAAGCGATAGAATCTATCGAGTTTTCATCCCATTTATATCAAAAAATGACAGTCTAGAAATTATCTCAATATGTAAAAGAAATTAAAAATACATTATATTCTATTGAAAAAAAATAGAGAGACCATATTACATCCTTGCCCAGGTCAAAGTAAAAACCAATAAATATGTTTTTTGTGTGGTTTCAGCATTTCTTCATGGTCTGAATACTAGAAAAGGTGAAAATTATTGCCACATGTACTCAATTATGACCAAATTTGTACGGTGAGATTACTACATTTGGACATATCTGATACAAGTATGGTGACAATAAAACCAACCTTTTCTAGCTGTGTTGCTTAAAACTCGGATGGACGCGCAGGTAAAGGTTTGGTCGACTTAAAAAGAATTGTCATATGATTACAGTTTATTTTTAGTATGTATATATATATGGATAACTGAGATCGCGCACGAGTTTGAGAGTCATTACGTTGACTTTTGAAACGCGTCAAAAATCAGACTGTTATTAAGACTAAAAGGTATGCCTATGTAGACTAATGAGTTTTTTTGATGAACTGTTTTAGTAATTGTCTTTAAATGAGAAGTAGGATTAAGAGACTAAAGATTTTAGTAGATTAAAGTTATTTCTATAACAGACATTGATTAACACTGTATTTTTCTGTACCCGTGTTGCTATAAGGTAGGTACTGGTTGTTTCATCCCCGCCCCACCCCTTCTGGCCATCATAATACACGTGTTTCACTTTCAAAAACTTAGATTCTAGATGAGAAACTTCACAGGTTTTCTCACTTTCCAAACTCGTTTTTTGAATCGGAAAATATATTACTTGGCAAAGTCAAATGCCGTTCATTTTGATATCGAGAAAGTCGAAATCTCTCGAGATCATAGCAAAGTGGCAACTTTCGTCTGACCCTTGAGTACGTTCACAGGACAGATGAACTTTTTACACTGTGACGTAAAAATGTCCCTTATTGGAAGCAAATGAAATCTATTTCATCATATTTTATGAATGTCACGTCACATACCTTATCTGAAACATCTCCTATGAAATTTGTGATCCTCAACATCCAACGACTTTGTGCTGTTCTTCTGCAAGGGCAGTAGAGAATTCTACTTGATAAAATTGTACGGAATTTTTTAGCATAATTTTCATCAAAGTCACCGCAATTTATTTTACTTTCAGCCATATTGAACATATCGCGAACGTCAACATCGTCCACTTCATCGTCCTCCACAAAAAAATCCTACAAGATATAAAATACATTTCAGCAACATTTTTAAATCTTCATTTGAAAGTATGATAAATAAAAGAACATTTTGCTGGAAATGACATTATGGCTATTACATATAGTGACAATTATATGAATGCGGCTGTGACGAATATAAAACAGTCATGTACTCTGTGACAGGTACTTGACACGTACTTTATGTCAGGAGCATGTCAATGACTCTGTGGGGTCCATTTGCTCCATAGTACAAACGCCCATGCTACCACATTTTATAGTATTCATGAATTCCAATGCCTAGTTCCACATTTATTTTGTATAATTTCAGTACAAATAAGTTATTATACCAGAGAATCAAAATACTCCTCTTCAGCTTCTTCATTGTAAGGTATTCTCGATTCTTCTAACCTCAACAGTTCTTGCCTTCTCTCTTTTTCCCTTTGTAGTGATTGCAAATAATCAATGTGTTGTAATAATCGTTTCTTATCTTCATTATCCTGACAAAAACATTTTGATTAGAGTTAAATATAGGAACACCGAATTTCAGTTTTGAATAATCAAAGTTGATTGATCTTAACAATGATATTATTTTCTTTATATTATACAGTCTGTTCAGAGTTGCCGTATATTTCTAGATTTGGCATCTTTATATTATATATATTTCTAGATTATTTCAGAAAATCTCACGAAGATTGAGTTGATTTGATTCGCCACCCGATCAAGTACTGCGATGCGATACCGCTTAAATTGAATCCTGGGTTTGATACAAAAATCATTCTACATACCAGTATGTTGTATTACGTGATAGTAATTTGTGTAGATAGAGAGCATAAACTCTGTTACAATAAGATGTGATTTGTTTAAATTTGAAACACATGTAAGAGCGAATATAATATTTAAAAAAATTGAATTTTAAAGAAGAAATTATATTAGTCTTACTGTGTAAGCTTCTTGAGCTTCTTTAGCGCTCTCTATAGCTAGACTGTATATCTCTTTATATTGATATGCTTTGGATTTTAGTTCTAATAACACTGCTCTGTGTGTCTCCTTTCGACAACATGATAAAGCTACATTTAATAAAAATACAAAATATATATATATAAGATGATTATAATAATAATAACACTAATGATAATTATGTTGTTTTAGCAACGTTTAAAAACTTTCAAATCCAAAGCATGAAAGGTAACATTTTGCGCCTGCAATTGTAAAAAATATTTATGCGTATGGGGGCACTTTAACCATCTATTTGCACCAATCTAATTGGCAACACTGTCCCTTTCATTTCTATCTATACTTTGAGATAGAGAGTTTTAGATTATTACAAAAATTAGAAATGTACTTACTTATAACTTTTGATTAGATACTGTTTAACATCAATTTGAAAATTATATCAACAGATTAATACAAGCTTCGGCTTGTTTCTGAAACCTTTTATGTATGTATGTATAATACATAATATAGGATTAAATATGGTTTAAAAAACAAGAAATTAACTTACAATCTTTAACTTTTTCCAGTATTTGGTTAGGATATTTCTGAAACAGAACAGCAAAGCTGACAAATCAGACGCGCAGTTAGCAATTCCGCTAAATTTAATATTCAAATTGGCCTAATGTAATTTTATGTATCCGGTTAGTAATCTTAATGTCTTCGCAAATTTTATATCGAATTTTGTGAACTTTATTTTAAGTGAATTTAAATATCAGTTTCACAACACACTGAATAACTTTGCGTTGATAAAAACCTGCTCAATTTATTTTCGTTTAATAGTTATGCATTGTTTTAAAGCATATTTTCAAAGCTTTATTTACTCAATAATTTGGTATATTTCACGAAAAACCTCAATTACTACCCAACAGAAAGCTGAGTAATGAAATATAGAAAATCAGTTTATAAGGGATAATTATCGTAGGCTATCATAGATTAAAGAAGATATGTAAATGTACGTGATTTTACCTGAATATCAATACACTTAATCATTTCAATTAAATTCTCTGTTATCAGTTCTATATTATCATCATTGTCAGGCAATTTTTCAAGAAGGGTGGCAATAAATTCAGCTATGAAATAACATGCTGGAAAATGATTTATTTGATATGCTCTGCTCCTAAACTTTGCAATATCTTTAATCATCTGAAATAAAAGAACTATATTTACGAAGATTCTTAGGGTAGTTCAAAAATCCAGAAGGACAAGGGCCATAACTCATATTAAACATTTTTCAATTTGGTTCATCGTTTGGTTATTTCGCCAAGTTTCGTTCAGATCCGTCAAGGATTGTGCATTCTAGAGTGTTTACGAGCTAAAACTAGATCATAAATCTAAAATTGCTAAAAAATGGCAATAACCCATATCAAATATTATTCGATTTTTTTTTCATCTCCAATAGAGTTTATCATTGAGTGATAATAAACATTTCAACAAAAGTTTCGTCAAAATTCTGAGTGGTTACGAACAATCGTGGGCAGACGAACGGACGCCAATATGCCCTTTAAGTTTTGGCGTATAAAAAGGAAAATGTGTCCCAAGAAAAGCAATTGCAATATAACAAGGGTTGAAAAAGCTATTTTCAATGTCGTCACAAGCTGTGCAACTTGCAAGTTCTAAAATGATTTTCTTTTTTGGATAATGTACCTAGTTTACAAAAATGTGGAAAGCAGAAGATCCATTCATAAACAGTTATCAACTTATCAGTTATCATTTACCTGAGTTGAGAATTTACTTCTACCTAAAAGGCCGTAGAACTTTTCGAGAATATTAAACAAATTAGTTAAAACATTGACATATGGCTTCTCATAGTCTTCAAGATCCATTACACATGATGTATCAATCACAACCAACACTGAAATATTTAACATTAATATTTAAGTCGTTTACAGATGCATAGATTTGTTTAGAAAAAAATTGATATTAATTATTTGTAAATATCTATAGAACAAAGGTCAAAAAGACCAAATTTAAAACATGCACGAATAAAGCTTGTATTTTAGCAAAGTGGACTGTTTTCCACGTTTATTAATCTATAAGGTGCATTGACATTTTGAATAAAACAAGCAAAATGAAATTATTGTCATGTCATCAATGTTAGGATTCTTGGACCATCAGTCTGTTAATGTTTCTTAGAGACGCCACTAAACTGATGGCGCGATAGATAAATATAACATTTTACAGTTTACCTACCATTAGTATAAAATCTGATAACACTCATTATATATTGAATATCATCTTCAGGTATATTCTGAAAGTGAACAAAGTATGGGAGGGTTTCTATGTCCAAAATATATTGTAGACAAAAAATCCGTATATTATTACATGTATTTAATATATAATAAAAAAATATGGAATTGAAACAAGTTGGCAGTAAATATTAACTATCTTTAACGGTGTTACTCATTTACTTTAACTATATTATACTTTTGGCATCTTATTGGAATTTTATGTATATTATATAGATTTATGGATTTATCTGATTAATCAGGGATTCTGTTGTATATTTATGACACCAGGTAAGTCCATTGATATTAAAAATTGAACTCATCCAATTAATTACCAACTAAAAGGCCTATTTCTATTTTTATTATCTGTTATGATTCTATGTCAGTTCGTCCAATCTGCATCACTGATAGGGAAATCAAGGAAACAATCGAAATCTATCATTCAGTAATAAATGTCGTATGAAGTCCAAAGAGAGCTGAAGATCCACTACAACTATAATAGGCCTATTATATCAGAAATATCAAAACATAACCAGAAACATACTGTAGAGTTTTAACCTGTACAATCTCAAGACAACCTACTATACAGTTTGGAATTTCAGTTAACAATGGTGTCATTATTATTATTATTTTTGAGATTAACTTACCTTTAAGTTGATAAACATACATAGCCTGTGGTTCAATTTAAGTTTTAGTTCGTTAAAATTCTCATTTTCTTTTCTTTTATCAAGATAGTCATTTAAGTCTTTGGTCATTTGATTCACTTCTGACATCTGAAAATTCCCGGATTGCAATTGAGCTTTCAACCTCATCAGCAAAGGCTCAATGTAATCATCAAATACCACAAGATATTCCTATGTAAAAAAAACAAAAAAAACATACGTTCCAAAACGAAAATTATCTCAAATAGCGTCATTATCAAATATTGCAACCTTTGTGTATTCCAATATTTTCCTGTCTTTCTCTAATCTATAATTCCAAAAGATCAAAGCCAAAACTTATCAAGCTAATTTCTCTTTTTCAGTACATAAACAATAGATGTCGGTTGGAGAATCTGAAGGGTTCAAATTAGAGCTAAAGGTGTCTCAAACAATACACATCACAAACATAGTCTAAAACCACTTTTGAATCTGACCGCTTGTGAGGAATTCTCTGGTATTCATTTTAACAGATCCAGCTTTGTGTATGTATTGCAATTTTTTTAGGTTATACATGTAAACAACACTCTGCCTCTACATGAAGAATATTATTGGTATCGGGGACACTGATAGCATCAATTTGCAACATTCCAATTTTCATTCATGCTTCTGCGGTACCCGCATTTCCACTAAAAAGAAGTGTTTGATGACGTGTGTTTTTTAACACAGATGTTATATACCTGTATAGCTGTACCTCAGGAGGTATTTGTCGAATCGTACCCAAATGCAAAATTGTCTGATAGGCGGGTAAATATAGGCCTTGAGAGGGGGTACCTAGAACAAATTGCAAAATTTTATTTTTCACACACAAAACCATGACAACCATGTCTAATTGGCTAAAATCATAAATGGCCGCCAAGAATACATAAAATCGTCAATATCTTGGAAACGACCCACCCTTGGTAAAATGATGTATTATGTTTAGACAGAAAATCGACCCCTCTGAGTTCAAAAATCATAACTTCATTTATCTGTGACGTCAATGTCATTTAATAAAAGGTAAAACATGAATAGATATGGTGGTGAGAAATACTGCATTAACTTTTATTTATTAAACTGGGGACCTGAATTCGCCCAGTGGACTAGAGGTTGGTCTGTTAGTCTGATTGGCTTTAATTTTACTGGACAAGGTTATAATTTAAGTTGCGGTTTTTCGAATTATGCGACTATCATCCTGTATTTATACACATGGTAGAATTTTTCTTGTAGACTCTCATAATTGGCAAGGACTATCTTACTTGTTCGATTACTGGTAGTATTGAACTAGATAACAAAGGGTGCCTTAACCTGTTTCGTTGGAGTCCATCATCATATAGAGAGGGATTGAAGATTCTACTCGGTTTTCTTCGAAAAGAGATGGGTATACGGGTAAAATGATCTTAGCACTCGGTAAGGTCTGTTTGGCTGTTGAGATGAGTATCTGATTCTGATTCATCACACTATATTGAGGGTTGACGGTGTGTGATGGGTACCCTTGTAAGAATGGTGCAAGCCGATGATTTGTACGGCAGGGGGATTTCATGTTGATTGTCCATTTAGTTCAGTGTAAGAAGTCGATTGGGTACTGATTTGGCAGATGTATTACTGGTCCAAATGTGCTCAAAGGAAAGAGAGATTAACGGAGACTGGATAACGTGGAAAACAATGAGAAGACGTATAGATAGAGAACTGGGGGCTGTTTAGATACGATGGTGACTACTTGGTGATCTGTATCTATTTCCTCAGTTGGTAGGGATATGGTTTCGTTGATTGTCTGGTAGAATTTGTGAGCTTCTCCTGAAGGGTAGTTTGATAGTGGTCGATTTAATACTACCTGCGTCCAGAGAGCCATGTACAGTTGAGGGATCTATTATTCTCGTCGACGGGAATAAAACTATTCAACTTAGAAACTCTAAAATTTGAATGTAGGTCGACCTTCCTTCTGGAGAGTTAGGATTATCAAATGATGGAGACAATGCAGAACCTGACAGCCTACCTTAACGAAGGGTTCTTTCTCCTTCTGAGTCGGGATTAGTAGGCGTCGATTGGCTGGTGGTCGTTTCTGCTGTTGGTTTGGTCGGCGGTAATCTATGGATGGGTAGGATGGATTATAGGTATTTCAGTGATGTGGTAGGATATAACTTGCTGATTTGGTAGGTAGTAAGTCTCTATGAAATACAGGGACTTTGTACGTACGTGGTTGATGGTTTGTATTAGGATATGGCGTCTTGCCATTGGTTGGAAGAGGGTGCGAACTATAATACAACTGGATGGAGGCTAGTGGACGAATGTATAGAGATTATAACAGAATGAAATATGTTTGCGTAGCAATGGAGATCAAGGTATGCAAGTGAGTTAAATGTGGGCATCCATCCAGTTTAAACGAGTTGGGTTGGATTCTTCCACATCAGAGATACACACCTGTCAATGAGGAGCTGCAACAGACAGTCTGCTTCAAATGATACGATGTAGCCCCAATGGTGATTTTCATGACACTCTGAGGATGAGGAGTTCTAAATGGGATTTATGCAGTATTTTTCATCATATATATTTATTTTTTACGTATTTTTATGTTTTGACGATTCATACTTATAGCACACATGTATGTTGTCCGTTTTTACATTGCATTAAATGATGACGTCATGACTTTCGAACTCAGAGGGGTCGGTTTCCTATCTGCACGATTCATCATTTTTACCTTGGGTCGGTCGTTAATATGATACCATATAACCCATTTCAGGTGAAAAACAACATCTTTCAATTTGTTCTAGGTATAATGTTATTTTTACCCGCATATGAGGTCTTACATGATATAATCTCACACACACAAAAGGTTATATACATCTGACAGGGACAACGGCAGTAGGACCTATACGTCCACATTGCGCGATGGTGCGCTATGGTGCTCGATGGTGCTCGAAGTCCCACCTTTTTGGCAAAAAAACTGCAGTCGATCGACAAAAAAATGATCAGGTACTATCGGCACCAAAATAAAGCTTAGTGAAATGGGGGTAGAAGATTTCGACTTTTCAACAAAAATGACGGGTGAAAAAAAAACTCTTTCTGTGCTGAATTCATTCACCATCTCAACAATCTATAAAAGCATTGACTAGTCTTGCGAATTTTAAAGTATAAAACTTCATCAAACATGTCAAAATTCCAGCGCCAATCGAGCTGATTTGCTGATCATGCTGATGAAGCGAAAGGTTACAGATATCAACCTCAAAACTTTTACCCAAACGGTATAGTAATTCTACTTTAGGACAAAACTCATTGGAAACTTTAGTGCTTAATATTCAAATCATTAATCTCACCAAACCACTTTCTTCAATACTGTGCGGTATATTCGCCATCTTTGACTCTCTTTTCTGCTTTATATAATAAATCTTCAATACATATTCAACATAAATTTCGGCTTATGATCTCAAGCATGCTGAACCTTAAAAAGCAAATAATATTCAATTGAAAATTTTAAGATGATTTCTAACATAAATAACTGCAATCCGTGGCTAAGCAAGTTTATCGTCCGGGGACGACGGTCTATCGTTTTGCGGGTTCGGCATCTTAACTATATATTTGCGTTATACATGTATACATATCCTATACAATCATGTATTTTCGTTTTTGATATGAAAGTTTGAAATGTGTTAAAGAGATACATCGCATTTTGGGGGGTTCATTTGAGTCTTGGATATGAAAATAGTATAATGAAAATCGCATAATTCCTTCAAAAATATCTCATATAGGAATTTCTTTTCCCATTTCTATGGATCTTTTTTCCATATATTGCAGACGACTCGACTTTTTAACTTTCAAACGCGGGTAATTCCGGACAAACATGGGTTTAAAGGCTCATATTTTGACGGTGAGTCAATTTCCCTGAGACTAAGGTGCGATTATTAAAAAAAAATGGCGTATCTGTCTCTTTAAACTTATCTGATTTTTAATAACCAAAAAACGGTGTAACTAGCTTGTAGCCTGTAGTCTATCTATTAACCCTTTATACAATTACCTATCAAACAGTCGGATTTATCGATTTTAAATATATATCTTATGTCATTTATTATGTCTATGTAATACATATTATTATTGTATGTATTGAATTTGAAAGTAAAAGCATGATTCCAGGAAGATTGCCGAATTTCTAACTATATTTAAATCTTCCCTTATATATAGCAATTAAAATATTTAAAAGGAATACATTAACCTATACTTTTAATACATAATATACACTCAGATATAGTCTTAAAGGTGTTATTACAATATTATTAATAGGAATACATCATACATCATTAGTCTGCATTTAATTTCGTTTTATACAGTTAACACCTTTAAAATTTTAATTTTTCTCAATTTTATATTTGTCTAAAATATATTTACAATATCAAGAGTTGCCTTCGGCTACTCATGACGTGTGTGACATAAAATGAATATCGAATTAAATCTGAGTAGCCTACACAATAAATCGACAACCCCTCTAAACCGACATTTCCACTGGACGGGGTGATGCCGGTTTGAAGGGGTTTCGAAGTAGTTATCTTGGATTTAAACCATAATCAATGACTAGTAAACAAGATCTCGAAAACGATATACTATATTAAGATTTCCACCGAATTCTGTGAGGACGTCTTTAGCACAATGACCGGTATCATACTGTTTGCACTGAAGTGATAAAATAGGCTAAGAGGATTCGGTTTGTGAATATTGCATTTTATTTGAAGAATAATAACAAGCATCGTATCACAAATACGGGTTTTGACGTGGTCCTGAGGAAGTATGAAGTATGGGGGATGTGGTTTGGACATGATGAGATGCAAGGTGTTTTCACCTAGTAAAACGACTTTTTTCCAATTGTTTACATTTTTTCCCCGGCATCAGTTGTTCCCCTTTCTGTTTTTATTACATATCGTGTTTCAACAAAAAGTATGATACCAGTCCCTCTGGACTTTAGGACCTTAAAAATGAATTCTGTGAATTTTCCGAAATAAAGCGAGAAATAGTTGAAAAAGCATAAGTTTAGTCGACTGTTTATTGATAAAATACAAGACAGGAGACAATAATAAATCACTTAGGATGGTATAAAGAGATCAATTTGAGCAGAGAACAGAATCTGGGTGTTAACCTATATTATAATGAATTACAGTGAATTAAAGTATCGTTTTGATTATGTTTAAAAGGACTCGTGATTTTAATTTAAATGTGTAAAGCTTACCTGATTTTGAGTTCACAAACTGTAATGTAACAAATAGGTAGCCTATAGACTATCTACAAACACTGTAGGTCCTACGCAGCCATTTATATTTTATCAAACAGTTCGATTTTAGAATAAAATTAGCTCACTTATTATAACTTTGATAATAGGCTTATACCTATTATATATTGTATTTATTGAAATTGAAATTAAAAACAAAATTCTAAGAAATCTTCCGCATTTCCTAATATTTTAATACATTACCTTCTATAGAAATAAAATATTATATTAGGCTTTCGCTGGGCTAAACTTGTTATACATAATATACACACGAAAAGTATTGAAGGTATTATTCCAATAGAAATATAAATAGAACTTTATTATTGTCTGAAAATATATTCAGGACAAATAGTCACTATTGGCTTTAATTCATTAATTTGTTTCAAAGAATAAATGGACATTTCTGAAACAGGTCAAACTTCGCCTGGTAAATGTTGTCTATGTATTAAGACAGTGTTTATGCAGCCAATCTAATTGTATAAATATGATACTCTAAGTGTAGACATTGATAATGAATTGGTAGTATTAGTTCGACTCTTGGAATCCAATAAATTAAATACAATAACCCTGCTACAGACTGGACATTAACTGACCACTGACTAGAATATTTGATCATCTATCAATAACCATTGTGGTAAACAATATTATTAATTCCAGGAAGATTGCTGAATTTCTAACTATATTTAAATCTTCCCTTGTACAGTGGTGTAACATATTTTCGTGCATAGAATGAGTCAACACCGAATTTCGTCAAAGTTTAAAAAACGGAATTTTATTTTATGTCTAAGATGTTACCTCAGATATTCCACAAAATAATTAAAATTAGTTTGTTTCGATTTTCTTTTTGAATCCCTCTCTTTGACCCATATTTCATGAGTAACCTACTCGACAACGGCGGAAAAATGCGTCACCTATTTTCGTGTACAATGTTTGATCTATAAATAAGTTGAGAAAAACACGTTGTATGGATACCCAGTAGTAAAATTAACTTCTCTTAGTATTTATCTTTAATATCAATTCATTATAGCTAGTGACCATGATTTAAAGAACCATGATTTAAAAAAAAAAAGTGACTGACAAAATAAGATACGCAGCGTGATTTATTGCTAAAAGTCATTGAAACAACATAAGAATATGGCCCACATTGTGTTACATAGAATTTTTCTGCTAACGCGGAATCCGCTAGTTGATCATGTGACTCCATTAGTTGGACTACATTCTAGCAGACGACACTTGGAATTCCGATTGCAGCTGGGGATTATAAGGAAATTCGGCCGATAGAAAATCGTGACGTTTGGTAATAATTGAAATCCACCATTTTGTATTTGTCAAAGGATACATTAATACAATTTACCTTGCTTGAAACTACTGAATTCATTCTACTAGCTGATATTGTAGAGATAACCCATGTTTATCAAAACAAGCAAATGCGGAGGTCACGCGAAATTGCACATGTAAATTATTAATCATTTCCGGAGATGCACGAAAAATAGGTTAGCACGAAACTAGACTGTATGTATATAAAAGGTATACATTAAGCCATACTTTTAATACATAATATACACTCAGATATAGTCTTAAAGGTGTTATTACAATTATTAATAGGAATATACATCATACAGCATTAACCTGTGCACATGTAAATTATTAATCATTTCCGGAGATGCACGAAAAATAGGTTAGCACGAAACTAGACTGTATGTATATAAAAGGTATACATTAAGCCATACTTTTAATACATAATATTACACTCAGATATAGTCTTAAAGGTGTTATTGCAATTATTAATAGGAATATACATCATACAGCATTAACCTGTGATTAATTTCGTTTTACACAGTTAACATCTTTAAAACTAAAACTATGCACAATTTTATCATTGTCTGAAATATATTTACAATATCAAGAGTTGCCTTCCGCTACTCATTACGTTTGACATGATATGACTATCGATTTAAATCTATTTGAGGAGCCTACGCAATTTCGAAATAAAGCGGGAAATGGTTGAGTTGGCAAACGTTGAGTCGACTGTAGAGAACAGAATCCGTAATAAATATATTAAATTAATAAATTACAATGAATGGTACTTAAACCTGAATTAAACTATCGATTTGATTATGTTTAAAAGGACTCGTGATTATTTAGATGTGTTTAGCTTTCCTGATTTTGAGTTCACAAATAACGTAACAAATAGGTAGCCTATAGACTATCTACAAACACTGTAGGTCCTACGCAGCCATTTATATTTTATCAAACAATTCGATTTTAAAATAAATCTTAGCTCACTTATTATAAATTTATTAATAGGCTTACATATTATATTGTATTTATTGAAATTGAAATTGTAAACATTATTCTAAGAAATTTCAGACTACTTTAATACTTAGGGAATAACATGAAAATTTTTCAGTTTATCAATGTATAAACAGAAAAAACATTTCTAATCAACAAATTACAAACGATGCATCCCTTTGGACTGAATATTCAGTTAGATTTTCAAATTGTTCCCTTCGTTTTCAATTCAACAGCACAGCCCCACAAACTCCTAGATTGTCTCAGGATTACTACAAGGATCTACATGAAAACTTTCTTACTGTTTTCAAGAATGATTTAGTCATTGCCTACAACAGAAATAAGAATTTGAATGACCTCCTTGTCCATGGTAGATTGCCTCTTCGTCTTATTTCCCATTGTTTTCTTTCTTTTTTCAAACATTTTTTTCATTGTTTTTCATTTTTTTTTATTTTTACCTAAAGATCCTACGGGTATTTCAGGGTATCTTAGTGTACAGAACCCGGTTTTACGAATTTTGAATTTTGCCACACATTTTGTTTATTCAAGTTAAAGAACTTAAAACTATAATAAGTCTTGTGTCCGCGCTTTCGTAACTTTGTATTAGTACAAAGTTACAACCTTTACTCCCTAATTTTAAGCGGCAATAGGTTAAATTTTGGTTTGGGAAAAAAACAAAAGTGCTGTGGAAGGCAGAGTTTGTAAGGTAGGAGCTTGAAATTTTGAACATAACAACTCCAGGCTGTTCAAATTGCAACTTCACATCACCGTAAGCCTTCAAACTGCAGCCTGTCAAAGTTTTGACTGTCTAGGCTGATTGTCGACCCACTATTATTCTCATCTTGAAATGGCCGAGAGATACAATTTTGTGTGACTAATGAAATTTAACATGTCCTGCGTCTGTTTCAGTTGAAATCAGAAAATCTTAACTTTTTGAGAAAAACCTCCTGCATCATTTCTAAATGTCCTTTTATGTCTTGATTCCATTTTCAGCCCATAATCTATCAACTACTCAGGAAAGAGGAACAATAGAAATAAAAAAATCCTGGCTGTAGATTTGGAATTTATTGATGATTCAAGGTCTCATTTCTTATAAAGAGGATCTTAAACGAGTGCTTATGTAAAATGAAATTAATGAAATGATTTGCCAGAACTATTTAATCCGGGAATGATAATCATAAATTAAATAATACATAGGCACGGGTGAAAGATTATTAATATCTAACAACTATCAATAATACACATTAGTACTCCTTGTACTTCTATATATATTCTTCTATATAGGGTCTTCATTTTGAGGTCAGCTTTTTATACACCTTTCTTCAAAATTCCATGCCCTTTACCTTCCATTTTATGAGTCTTCAACTTCAAAGAATGCCTTGTCGTTCTGTTTACATGGATACTCAACCTAATCTGCTTAGTTATCAACCTGTGGTAGGAGTTCATATCGTTTTCATGAACCTGTCTTATGTACCAGAGAATAGAACTGTTGTGTGATAATACAAAATACAACATTACAGAGATAAAAATTTATTTTAGCACATAAATTCAAAACTAAAGTGAATTAAGTGATAATAAATAAAATAAAGACTTTACAAAAACTTACCTAGCAATAAATTTTAATACCAAAAGTTAAAAAGATAATTTGCAGCGAACGTCTCAAATGGGAAAAGTCATCCGAAAAACTCAATCTGATTAAAATTAGATCACAATTTCGTATCATTATTGTTTTTTTTTAGTCTACATTGTAATCAAAATAGATTTCTACCAGGCCAGTCCCAATTATGTTATTCTTATCCAATCAAACCCGTATCTTGATAAAATAAGGAATTGTAGGATAGCGAAAATCAAACCCAAGAAATGTGAACGGACGGACAGGGACGACGGCAATATACGTCCACATTTACAGGTGGGCGTATAAAACTGTAGTCCTTATTGCGAACACACCAAAGGTTGACGAACCCCATGATACAAAATATATTTTACACCAATTTCAATAATAAATATTTTCCATGTTAAAATACACCAATTATATTGATTTGAAAATAACAATAAAAGCGATTATATCATATTAAAAGGATATGGTCCACTATAATAAAAAAAGATATAAACCAATATAATATAAAAAAAAAAACAATACGATCATTAACAATATATTATAAGGAATATAGTTACAGCTTAATTACTTTTTTGCCGATTTATATCGACCAATAATAGGAATTGCCGCACGAGGCGGAGCAGACGAAGGAATGTTATTTGCGTCTTGAATACAGCCTTGCTTCTCATAATGTAGTAACAAGGCTCGCCAAGTTGTATCACATTTCAACACATTCTTATTACCTGCAAAATAAAACATTGGGTGTATAATGATAATTGCTTATTAGCTCTCAAAAAAGCTTGGCTCAATGATCATAGTCTTCTAGGGTGGGTTAACCGGAAAACATCTTCTTCGGGTCCCTAAAAACCTGATGTCAAACCTTATATTTGCCTCACTCAGATGTTGAGCTCAAAACTGTAGCTTCAAGGTAACGTCCAAAAAGCTACATAATGTGAATATTAAGAACGTGACAAGATTCACGGATGGAAATAACAGATATGTTGATATAATATCACCATTTCATCAGAGCCTTACCTATAATCAATAATCCCTTCCTCGCTCTTGTAAGAGCAACATTGGTCTGATTTTCATCAGCTAAAAATCCGAGATTTTCTGTTCTCCATCCTCGAGTAGGAAAAGGTTCAATTTTATACAAAGGTAGAGAACGTACGGTACTTAAAATAACATAATCCCATTCACCACCTGGAATAAAGATAGGTAGATAGAGAAGTTCAGACTAATCTATTTCTGATAATAATTAGGTTCTGGGGACTAGAAAATCTAAATTCGGTTTGGACTGCGATGATCTAACTAGTAACATATAACCATATCGGTAATATCGACCAAGTTTGAAAATTTGGAGTGTTCAATCTTTCGCTGGTTAAAGCAACTCTTTTGTAGACAAACCAGACATTGACTTTGTACAATAAGAGTGAACAGAATAAGTTTCATCGACTGAAAAATTAATTGAGTACTATGTTCCTCTGATATTTTGAGTTTGGTTGATATTATGGAAGTCAATTTGACCAAATGTAGGTTGTAGAAATATATGCATGTACAAATGTATCTGTTATCAGGGAGCCACACAATAAGCAATTTCATACATATTTACAAGAAATTAATAAAATAATTGATAACAATTCTACATGAAGTATTCTAAAGCAGCAAAAACATCTTCTAACCTTGGCTGGCTACAACTGTATTTACAGTGTTGTCGAAGTTATATTCCTTTATTTTCTTCTGAATCAAAGACATCTGTGATTTGTATTGTGTCATGATATTGATACTTCTTGGATTGATATCTTCATTCCTTACCATGTGTCGAAATAAATCCACCTAAAATACAATGGAAAGCAAAACTGACGATTATCACCATGAAGATATGCATTAATCATTTCCAATAGAGTTGACTATAGTAAGAAAAAAGTCATGGAAACATCATGAGAGATAGAACGTTAACGATGAAAGACTCCTGAATTTTGGGATCAATCTGAAGATCTTACAGATTCGCAAAGCCGTTAGTCCGTGCAGCACACACCAGAAATGAAATGAAATGAATGGAGTTTGACGTCCTACTTTTCTGCACCATGTGGGCTAATGAAGACGAGCAACGCCATGCTGGGTGCAATGAGCGAACTTTTTCTAGGACAGCAACATTAGCCTCCTCTTTTTCGATTTCCAACTGTCGAGGAATCTTTAACGTGCACAGTCTGTAGCACATGGGGCTTCAGTTTATTGTCCCATCTGAACGACTAGACGCTTTATCCATGTCAACCCCTCTTTCTAGTACCTCTAATTTGCATCACTGACAGGGGAAAAATCCGAAGGTATAATCTCTACCTATGCCAGATTGAACCATGGACATTCAGGGTAGCACATGGGGCTTCGGTTTATTGTCCCATCTGAACGACTAGACGCTTTATCCATGTCAACCCCTCTTTCTAGTACCTCTTATCTGCATCACTGAGAGGGGAAAAATCCGAAGGTATAATCTCTACCTATGCCAGATTGAACCATGGACTTTCAGGTTAGCGAGCAAGCGTCTAACTTACTGAGCCGCCGCGACTGAGCCGCCGCGGCTCCCAGCACTCACCAGAGGTAATGCTTGATAATCATATAGCTTCCTCTGAGATAACATCTAAAATTGACATCATCATAGGCCCTTCGTTAGTCAAATGAGTTTCGATGGACATAGATGTGGGCAACTGCTAAAAAAGGTTTGTGATGATTAACGGCATTTAACAGACGTAGCGTACAATCAAACACAAAAAAACACAATGTAAATTCAAGTTTGTGTCAAACTAAAAGACTGCTGTCGATCTTAACAGAATTGTAAAATAGAGGTAGATTAAACAAATATTCAAAGGTGATCATTAAACAAAGGTTCTGAGCAATGTAAGTTAATTCTAATATTGACTGACATGTTTTTAAAAAATGATTAAATAAAAAAACGAAACCAAAATGGCCATACAATTGTTTGTCTAATAAAACCAAAATTATATTTCGATTGTAATTGTGAAAATATTATAACAGTGTTGAGTCTTCGATGTCAGGAAAGAGTTAAACTAAATATTTGTCAAGTGAAGGCTAATTATGTACATAACTTGTCCCAGCAGCAAAAAAACATAAGGGTTAATTGAGAAGAATCTCAATGAAAGCACTGGCCTAGGTCACATTGACAGTGTTAATGTTACTTACAACTTTATCAACTTCCTGAATATTGGACTTTGATCGTTCGTGACCATCATCAGTGTGTACTGTTAGTGCTTCTTCTTCTCCTTCTATATGGAAAAACATAATCTTTTTTCCACCAATTATCCTTAAAGGCTGTTTAATCTCCCATAATGTAGATGGTCCTGTTTCTAGTTTACCTTCATAAAATTGCTTGGATGGAAATGCACATATATCAGGGTGCTGAAAAAGGTTCAACTGAAGTCTTAACTTATAAATAATTAATAAGATCAAATTATTATGTAAAGGAGAAATGTTCCAAATTTTATGAAGAGAGTTAATCAAATGCGCGAACTTCAGGACGAAAATATATTTTTAAGACATTGACCAATTTAACCGATTGAATCAGCGACTTCTACATAAATAATATGATAAAAACAACCCTTACGTACCATTCTGTATTGGATATTAAGAAAAATGGCCTTTTCAGCATATCTCTCAAACAATGACTTTTCTAGACCAAGTTTAGCGGCTTTAGAGCACATCAATATTGGTCGAAGTTGTTTATGGTCACCAATTAAAACAAGCTGGTTGGGTTTGGCAACAAGAATTGGTAATAAAGTCTCTGGTTCAGTACACATGCCACATTCATCAATTATACATTGGAATACTTTAAGATTTTTCATCGTTCTCTTGTTACCCCCAACACCAGTTGTACACAAAATTGCTTCATATAATGGCAACTCTTCTTCCTCAGCTTGACGGACAAGTTTATGGTATGTCTTTATCATCATTTTGGTTATTCCCTGTGATTCTGGGAATTGAATTTCCTTTTTAAACTTCTTGTCAAATTCACAAATTTTATCTGCATACGGTTTACCTTTCTGTCTAATGATATGGTGAAGAGCAACATTATGTAAGTCTTCAGGGCATTGTCCTTCTCTCCTTGCAGCTCTTGATGGTGAAGCTCTGCCAGGCACAGGGAAATCGCAAAAAACTACAGTCCTGCCATAAACTCGAACTATTTTTGGGCATCTATTTCCCAACTTCTTTATAAGATTACCTGAAAAGAATATTTGACAACTTCGTAATCACTCAGGAGACAACTTTTTACATATTATCGCATAATATACTAATCTAAATTTGTATAATTTCGCCATGGCTGATAACCATTTATCCGAGATTTTATGTCACAAATAATCCTTGGATTTTCTTATTTTCATGAACCCCGAAGACATTATCTTAATACATGATTCATATTTGGATAATTTTTGGATAATCTACTACTTGAGTAATGGCATTTCAGATTTATAACTTAAAACTGTACGCAATATTGCTTCCTTTTTTACGTCCATAATTACAAAACGATTTAAATGAGCCTTGCTTATAAATGTCATAGAATGAGTTGGATAATCTTGAGCTGTATTTAATTCAGATTACTTTAACACATTTACTAGAAATTTTTCACCATTGTTATTATAGTTTTTATTATTATTTACTATTACTAAACTTACGTGCTACAACGTCAACTGATTTGTTAGAAGGACCACAATACAAAACTTGGTTTTTACCATCGATTGTTTTGTCTCCCTTTTTGGCTGGTTCTTCTAGCTTAATGATCTTATTAATCTTAGTGAAGAGATATACTAATTTAATACCAGTATACGTTTTCCCAGTTCCTGTTTATAAAATCATTCACATCAATTTATATAATAGGTAAAACACGAATCAGAGTTTAGATTAAATATGTCATGCCTTTGCAAAGGATAAAAGGCATGGTTCGCCACTTTCTGGATTTGATTTGGTTCGTGAATACATGTATGTATACGTTATTAGTCTTCAAAATTACTAGAACTGCACGGAAATCTCTTCAAATATGCCTCAAACTAGAATTTTACTGTTTATTTCTATATCTTTTCTATATAGATGGAGTCTCAAGAAAGGACGAGTAGTCATTTTAACTTTCAAACGCAGATAATTCTGGACCGATTCTTTAAAGGTTCGAATTTCGCTGGTAAGCTGTGAACACTATCACTGATTCCTGTTTCTGAGATTAAGGTACGATTGGTCAAACGGTGATGTGCAATTCTGGAAACTTTGCACAAACTGGATCAGAGAGGTGGACTAAAATCAGTATAAAAATGAAGTTATGAATTATGAATTACCAACCTGGAGGACCTTGTATCAATGTGAATGCTGATGTTAATGATTTCTCGATAGCCTCGTGTTGTTTTATATTGTTACCAGGTAATTTGAGGATCTGCAGTTCCTCTTTAGGTAAATCTTTTTCGATCTTCTTTCCCAAATCAAGGTGATCACGGTCTATGAAAATACATAATATACATGTACAAATTTTTTTTCTTTTAGATCCCAACAAACACATGGATGTCCGTCCGTCGATCTGTCCCTAAATGCTCGTAAACACTATCGAAGTCACAATTCCTGACAGATTTTTGACGAAACTAGTGTTTATAATCACTCAAGGTAGAATCCTAATGAAAAATCAAAAAATATTTGCTCTTGTTCTTGAAAACGCATTCAATTTTTAGCTCGTAAACACTCAAGCGGGCACAATTTTCACTGATTTTGACAAAACTTGGTGTGAGTGTTTAAAATTCCAAAGGAATTGAACGGTATTGAAAATCAGAAAAAAAGAAAAATATTTGATATAACATATTGCTCTTGTTCTTGAAAACGCGTTTAATTTTTTTAGCTTTAAACACTCTAAAAGGCACAATTCTTGCTGGATTTTGGCAAAACGTAGTAATATTGTTCATTATCACCCCAACCTGGATGTAATAAAAGTTTACCTAACACTGGTATTGAGCTGTTTAAAACTATTGCTTTCACTAAAGGGTTACTCTCGATGACTTTCTTTTTTAGAACATCTTTAAGTCTCCTGGAAAAGAAACTTCAATGTCATTACATAGTCAGGGCCCTGCTTTTAATTGTTCATCTACATGCTATTTTTATTGGTGTTATTACTTTTAAATATCACACGATGGCTAAATCACTTCTTTTAATACTGAAATATACAAAATAAAAATATAACCAACGAACCTGTCTGTTTCTGATCTTGGTATTATCTCGAGAGTGAAAACATCCTGTGTTCCTATATTTATTACATCTCTCATTTTTGAACTAGATGTTTCTGTGCCATGAAGTTCGAAATAAACCTCCAATTCATTTGATTCCATGTAATCTTCGCTTTTACAACAATATACCATTTGCCCATGACCTACCCAGATAAAGGGATTGTCAGAGTCTTGAGCTACTTCTTTACGGATACAGACAAAATCAGTTATAGGCTTTTCTTTTTCATCTTTACTAATGTGAATACTACCTAATACGTCCCTGTCTGAACAAAATGAATGGTTAAAAGTGAAGCTACCAGAATCTTGTGTTGTAAAACGCACTGGGACGTGTTCAATGAAAAATGTGTCACCGCCTTGAACACTTTGAACTGCGGCTTCCATTTCCACTAGGGCTGACCATGCCTTCACATATTCTGATATTTGTATCCACTTTCTTCCTTTTGTCGACTCAAAAGACTCCTTAGTAAGGCAGGTCACAGGATCATCTTTATGTTCCAAACAAAATATCAAATTATCAGCTAGTTTGACCATAGTAAACTTAGGTTTTGGAAGTCCCTTTTCGAAAACAGTTGATAGCTGAGTGCACAGAACTCGACCAGGAGCAAACTTGAAACTGAACCTGAAAAACAAGAAAGAAAATACTGAAATTACAACGTACACTAATTGGGTTCTTACGAAGTTGTGTCTCTGAAGATAAGATAAGATCAATCTTTATTACCAATTTGGGTAAAAAAAATCGAGAAAGTAGTTAATCAACCAGTTAATTTTGAATTAAAAAACTGGAATATTAATTTTCACCAGGCTGAAAATACAAGTTTTTAATTCAAAATTATGTTTTATAATTGTATTCCAGTTTTTTAATTCAAAATTAAACAAAATAAATAATGTCGTATATGAACCATCGTAGAAATAAGATTAAATAATAAATGATAAATGATGGAATTTGACCAACTTGACATGAGTAAAACTCGATGAAAACTTACCTACACATATCCGTTAGTGATGAAATATTACTTCGACCACCTTCACAGGTAACTTTATCTACAGTTCCATATAATGTCCCTATGGGATTTATTCCCTCCATACCAATTTGATCAATTATTTTTTCGACTTCCTTTTTACACCGCTTACTGCGTTGTTTGTCCTCAGATTCAGTCGATGATATAAGATTGGTGAGAAGGTCCGCCCACATTTTTAACGGTATGTTTAGGCAATGTTTGATAGGGTTCAGTTGTAGTTTTTCTCGCCTTTTCATTTCAGGGCGGACATGGCCAACTGCTCCTAGAGTGTGGAAGCTTCTCTTTCTCCAAGAGGTTTCTGTAAGTGTATCTTTTACAGTTGGTCTTTCGCAAACGTCCAGTAAATGAAATGGTATATCATTATTCGCTTTCAAAAATGGCCATTGAGGTATTTCAATTTCCACCCCGTCATTATCTGCTTGACTGATAAATCCCATAATCTGGGCCGGTTGTTTTGTTAACTCATATGCTAATTTTAGAGTTTTACTGTGCTTTCCATACAATTTCTGTTGTTTTGCTCGTCTACCAAGATGTAGGCTTATCATCTGCAGCTCGTGGGTAGTATATGGTGCTTTCTTTTTATCCAAATAGGCGTGGATAAAGCGATGATTGATTAAATCAACAAACCGTCTCAGCGGCGAAGTGAAATGTGTGTAAAGATTGAAGTTTAATGTAAAATGATGGGAACCTGTTGCCCGTGCTCCAGAGCATAACTTATACTCCGCTGATTCCATTATCCCATTCCAACGTGTCCGAGCAATAAAATGGCTTGGGTGTATATCATCCATACAGAGAATACTTTGCAACTTTTTCCAATCTTTTGCTTCCTTTGCTCTCAGGACTTCTGTCCAAACTGATTTCTGAACTGTCAGATGTCCGTCGGAATGATTATTGTCCAGGGATAGTGATAAATTTCCATTGCTGCTTTGACAAGAATAACCTTGTAAGTAAAGAATCAAATTACCAACCGGTTGATTTTGACCAAACCATTGAACAAGTTTTTTGTCGTCTGGTGGTTGTTGAACTCTTAGCAGTATTCCTCTTGGGAATTGTTCTGTAATTATTTGGCCAATATGACAATTTGTCATTATCATATATTCTTCCACTAAATCGTGAGCTTCTGTTTCATTCGTTTCATTTTCACCACGAAGAAAGCCATCACTATACTGAACATGATAGAGTCTTTTCTTTAAACGAGAACGTCTGATAGATTTAGACAGCCTGTACAAATCAGTTATCATACCATTAATCGTATCGGAAAATCCATCTCGGTGGCCATTGATAATTAGTTGTGCTTCATGATATGTCAACTGTTGCATGGAGCGAACAAAAGATCGTTGAATTACTGGTTCGTTAAGCTGTTCACCGTTGGCATCCAGTTTAAATATCACAGAAATCGTACGACGAACCTCTCTCTCTCGAAGGCTACACCTATCTTCGCTCAATGGTTCAGGGAGCATATGAATGGATCTGGAATCTTCTGGATAAAAGCTTGTCGCTCTTCTTTCAGCCTCCTTATCAATCTCAGAGCCTTTTACTACAAAATGGGCAACGTCTGCAATATGAACGCCGACCTCGAAAATGTTTTCAGATAGCCTTGTTATATGAAGTGCGTCATCTAGATCCTTTGATCCCTTTGGGTCAATGGTCAATACATCAAAGTCATAGCTCGGTACAGAGTCATCTTTCTTCATACCCACAATTTCCTGGATTACTTCTGATGGGTAAATAGGGTCAATAGCAAATTGATTTCCAAGTATCTTAAGACTTGCTTGATAATCCTTATAGTTTTGAATTACGTCTATAACCATTCCTTTAGGATAGGCAAATTTGGGACTCCAGTTCAAATACACAACAACAAAAATATATTGTTGTCTTTTAGCAGGATTTATGGTAAAGAAATGAGAAAATTTGAATGATTTTTTCTTATCCATCTTGTATACTTCTATCTTGGAATTGGGAATGTTGGAAAATCTCTTTAATACTTGATTATGGAAAATGCTTATTTTGGGGACAGTCTTGCAGATAGGTCCCATCAAATGGGCTTCTTCTCCAGTTATTGTACATAAAAAGACAGGATTTTTTGTATCAGACCTATTTCTTTTGAAAATCCCAACAACTTTACCACAGTCTTTATCGTTTGCTTTACCAATAATTTCTACACAGACCTCATCACCAGAAAATGTTTGTCCGCATTTAGATCTACCATTTATCACTATCTGCTCACCAATTGGATTTTCTGTCGTAGTACATGTAGCTGATTGTGATGAATCCACATTAATGATACATTTCTTATATTTCACAGGATTTGCTTGAATATTCTGTTCCATTTCAACTCTGGTCATCATTGCAGGATAAAATATTTCCCACTTTGGCAAATTTTCTTGAAAATCGAAGCGTTCCCTTAAATCTACATCATACTGAAGACAATGTTCTGTTTTCTTTTCATGTCCTTCCATTACCTTGATACTAGTTTCATACCAGGTTTCTTGTGGAACAGAAACTTCCTCATCTGATATTGATTCATCCTGATCCACGTCTGACTGAGAATAAGAGAACAGTGATAGATTATCTGTGCTGGGGGCTGTGGTTAAACTGTAAGTTTCACTATCAATATAATCATCCGACAAATCACTTTCTGTATCTACAATAAATAAACACATGTGCTATCAATCGGGATCAAAATTTAAAATACTTCTATATCTTATATATTCAAGATACAGGGGAATATAGCATAAATTGACACAGAAATATTGCAATCTCCATGCAGTCACTCTGAGTAAAGGAGAGAATATATTTTCTTCATCTACTAAGATATCGTCAATTTCGATTCAATTGGATAAAATATATTATTACCACTTATCGGTGTGACTGTTGACAATTCTACATTTTGTACTTTATTTTCAGATTTGTTTTGGAAATTCGCGTCATCTTCTGGTGTCACCATTTCTTGTTTCTTATCTATTAATATACATACAAAAAAAACAACAAACAATATCGTGATGTTCTTTTTCATATTAGCAGTACCTAATAAGATATAAATAAGTTGATTCTTATACAAGATCTTGTCAAATTGAAACTCCGGGCGATTAATCTTCTCTGATCTGCCGCAGTTGACAGAAGCGAAAAGCACATAACCTAAAATTCTAAAATCCTAGACTCACACAGTTCCGGTCGACAAAAAATAAAAATGATGCATCTGGAGGCAAATGCTATTTTTACATCAACGGTGCGCATGGGTGTACTAATTTCTATGAATCTATAACTTGACCAACTAGTATAAGTTGCGATGAATCATTAGTGATCTGTGATTAGGGTTAGGTCTATTAGAGGGAAGTCGGCAATATGATCAATGGTTGGGCATGGGAATAAATGGTACTCTCAGACACACAATAAAAAAAATCTTACATCTTCTTCTTTTCTTCTTGTGATGACGGGACTGAATTTTATTTTGACGTTCTCTGTCTTTCCTTATGTTATCATCAACTAAGTAAGAAGCCCCAACTGACTCTCGAGTTTGGATAGTTCGTTGAAATTTTGTCTTTAAGCTCTGAAGCTCTGATTTCTTGTCTGTATTCTGTGGGAAGTAACATGTATTACATACAAGATAAAACATTTCTTAAGGCTTGAAAACGAGTTATGGAAATACATTTATTGAAATGACGTGTGCACAAAAAATTCGAAAACAGTAAAGCTATGTATGGTAATATACGGTTTAACGGTTCCCGACAATGGGATCAAATATTCGGTTTTCACTTCCACTTTTATGCTAATGTGTTTCTTCGAAGGTCTAAAGCTGCGATTATGCCTACATGGGTACGCAAACTCAAACGCAAGCTGAATAAAAGATAGCTTGTCAGGCCACTACAAACAAAGTCTTTAGTGGCTTCATAATGATTTAATAATAATCTTTAAAATGTTTAAAAGTCAAAGCAAAATCTCAAACACAGTTCATCAAATTATCATCAAATTCAAACATGAACAAGGTCTCAACGAACACACAAGGGCAAAAACACTCAACTCATCAGTATATGCACAAAAACGAAGTTTCATCAAAATCAAATAAAAGATGTAGTCAGTCAAATATGGTACGTTTTTAATAAGTCGGTGGCGATAACTCCGAAACCGTTCATCCGATTGGTTCCGCTTTCGTAATCGATTGAGATCTCATCAGTATATATGCATACCAAGTTTCATCAAGATTGTATAAAAACTGTAGTCTATATCTGCCTACAAACCAGTTTTGAAGTGTTTAACTAAGTCAAAGACGATAACTCTGAAACCGTTCATCTCATTGTTACCAAATTCAAACTTGACTTAGAACTTAAGTTGCGGGCTCACGAACAGTATTGGTCGGAGATTGTTATCGCCGATTACAGTCTTGAGTATCTCGCGTGTGCCCCCGCTTCCTCGACAGGATTATTGCGTCCCAAGTTTGATAATAGTCTCCGATAGTTTTATCGTCTGCAAGACAAACCGTCATTATCCAATCAGATTCACTTTCCTTTCAATTGCATGCTCCGCACTTAATTATCGACGGGGTGATAAACGACCTACGGGAGATTTTTGTCTCCCTCGTGTGCCCGTGCCAGTCGGACTCGAGTCAATCTATACATGCATGCCAAGATCCATCAAGATCGGATAAAAACTGTAGCCTCTGTCTTGGATACAAGTCAAATTTGACGCGATTGTACTAAGGGCAATGACCCCAACACCGTTCTTCCGATAATTTCGAATTTCACCGAGATCTCATCAATCTATATATATATACCAAGTGTCATCAAGATCGGATATAAACTGTAGCCTGTATTGTGGCTACAAGCCAAATTTGACGCGCTTTTCTTACGTCAAGGGCAATAATTCAAAACCCGTTCGGCCGATTATTATTAAATTCGAACATGACCAAGATCTCGTCAATAGATACATGCATGTAACAGAAGTGCGGACAGGGGCGATGGCAATATACGTCCACATTTCCATTTGAGTTTGAGCTTGAGTTACGCTTACGTACACATGTAATCAACCTGTAGCGTGTTTATAGCTTAAGTTCAACAATTTTCATTGGTTAGTAGTGCTCGTGTCTTGCAAGTTGCAACACGTTCAGTTCTAGAAGGGATTCTGAAATCTTATTTAACATTAATCTAACAATAAATTGAATGAAAACATTTGTAGTCTGTACCTGGCATATTTCAATAGCTTCATCAATCCTAGCTATAGCAGCTTCTCTTCTGTTTAATTTTTCAAAAGCCCTAGCCATTGTTTCTAGTGCTTTAATCTTCTGATCTGTATGTTCCATATCAAATTCAGTAGCTAATTTTAAAACTGTAGAGAAGAGAAATAAATAAGCCTTACTGAATTTTTCCGTCTTTTAATCGAGTAAACTCTGTTATTTACGAAATTCTTCTTTTCAGATTTATATCTTGTTAGCTGAATGGCATATATATATAGTAGGATCACAATATTTTGCTCTATTAAACAGACGGGACTGATGAATTTGATTTATTAAGCATACAAACCTGCTTTGCAACCAGCAACTGCTCTGTCATAATCACCCTTAAATTCAAAGATAGCCTGCCAGGCAAGGTAATATACGCCTACTGGCAGCTTTGATTTTAAATAAAAATATTTGGCAGTACTGTAACAATTACCAGTATGAAATATTCAACCTTCAGCCATACACTTCTTTTGAACTTTATATTGAATAATATTACTAAGTTTCATCACAAGCTGTCAAGAATTGGGCCTTCTAAAGTGTTTACAGACTAAAACTTGAATGCGGTTTTAAGAACAAGAGCAATAACTCATACTAAATATTTTTCGTTTTTTCTCATTTTCGATAGGGTTCATCCTTGGGTGTTTACGAACACTCACACCAAGTTTCGTCAAAATCTATCAAGAATTGTGCCTTCTAGAATGTTTACGTGCTAAAAATTGAATACATTTTCAAGAACACGGACAATAACTCATACTAATTATTTTTCGATTTTTCTGATTCTTAATAGGGTTCATCCTTGGGTGATAACAAACACTCACACAAGTTTCATCAAACTTTTTTTCTGCGCCTTTTAGAGTGTTTACGAGCGTTTCAAGCAATAACTCATCATAAATATTTTTCAATTTTTCTGATTTTCAATAGGCTTGATATTCGGGTTATAACAAGCAACCATACCAAATTTCGTCGAAATCAGTCAAAAATGTAAAGTGTAGACGGACCGACAGATGGGTGGCGGCGATATACACCCCCTATTTCATGTAGCGTATAAATAAGGTAATTGGAGGTATATAATTACATGTATATTATGATGGCATAGCGTCAATGCTAAGATATGCATGCGTCAATGAACATAACGCCCTTATTTTGAAAAGTGATCCGAATAGTTGTTGATATTTCGAAGCATTGGACAGGATTGTAGTAGACAAATATATATGGGTAAAGCAACATCTTGATTGATATAACCAACCCAAATGATTTGATGCAAAAAATATAAAATTCATGTCCTATATTCACGCAATTTTGAGAAATGTTGAGGGTGCACTACTTACAAATTTGAACATAGATTGTCCCATATTGTTATATATTTGACCGAACATCTTGGATAGAACAAAAGGGTGAATATTATATACTCCAGTTACATGAAGTGCTTCTAGTATAGTCTTTAATTCGTTACTTATACCAATACAGGTTGCGACATCGTCATCGTCGTGAGATTCTAACAAAACGTTGGTTATAGAAAGCATTTCTTGGCAGAACTTTATCGTACTCTTAATTAGTAAATAAAAAAAGAAACATTTTGACTAGCTAATTGTATAAAGATAAATGCTTGTATCTACTTATCGTTATCATGAACCTATCTAAGAAGTAACTTACTACATCTGATTGCATATAGCCTGATCGGAATATCCTGAGGATCTTGATATAGTTTTCAAAGAAAGTTATATAGAAATAGTGGATTCAAGAATAAACTTGGACATAACTCTCAACACATAAAAAATAGAGTGTCTGATGCATTTTGGTCGAAGGTAGCTTTACTACATAGACAGGGCGATTGTCCATGCTAACAATATTTGTTAAGTCATACCTTTGCTAGTGTCTTAGAACTTTGTATTTCATCCTGAAAGAAAACAACATTCAAGTCTAACTTGTTTGTCAAACGTTAGAGGTTTCAATATTAATTTGTTTTCTGTCAGAAGTCTAAAATAAAAGTATGTGACAGATCTGATTTTCAAAAAGTGAACATAAAGGATATTGGAATGCATCTCCATGTAATTAATGTTATATATTATTTTTCAATTCTTGGTGTATTTGAAATTTTCTTGACCACTTTAAGAAATAAACTCACGTGCTTTACTTTCTGAACCAGGAGGCCATTAACTGCAAATTGAAATAACTCATAAGCATGAGCGCTCACTTGAGCAGTTTTCCCTTCTTTTGGGTTCGAAAAGAATACACCTATTCCATTCATCCCTGAAATTTACAACATCTTTTTTCCCTTGACTTTTAGCCGTGTAACACATTCCTGTGGCCATATAATACTCCAAAGTAAAATTTCAATTTGCCCGTGGCTGTGCCAAGTTCATTTCACTAAAATTTAAATTTGGGATTCCTTACTTGGGTGCACAAGAAAAATTATTGCAGACATTACATAATATCTTATTCAGCTCTGAAGAATAGCCATCTTACCCTCCGGTCAGCCTTCAAAGCAATTATGACAAATGACAGCCTACTTTCACTTAACATTCTGTTTTGGAGGGTTGTGTTTTTTGGCGGCCATATATGGTTTCGTTTGATAATATATTGCCTCATTGAAGATCGATTATACTCACCATAGAATAAATATCTTAAACAAGATATGAAAACATTGTCACTGAACTCACACTGAAATTCATAAAACAAAGATTGCCAAACAAGGTCACTTACACAATACAGAATTGTAATGAAACATGAGCCATTTTCAAGTTCTGTAAAAGAACTACGTCAACACAGTAGAAAATAGTTGTATATTGTATTGGAATGCTACATACCTTTTCTATGACATCTCCTATACCATTTGTTATCCTCAACATGCAATGAACTTGTTCTGTTCTTTTGTTAATGTAGCCTATAAATCCACTTGCAGCCTGTCTACGGAATTCTTCGGCATATTTTTCATCAAATTCACCACAAATAATTTTATTTTCAGCCATATTGAACATATCGCAATCGTCACCATCGACCACTTCATCGTCCTCCACAAAAAAATCCTACAAGAAATCAAAGACATTGTCCGTATGCATCAAATAGAATCATATTAAGAAGATTAGAATTTATATTATATTCAGGCCCCTAAATCAAATCTTGCTTTTTATTTTTGCAAAATACCATGCAGGGTAATGTCATGAAATTCATCTTAATCGACAAAAAAGTGGTCCATTTTTAACCCTTAAGACCGATAAGGGTAACTTTAAGTTGAGCATTAAATTGGCCAATTTTTAAATATATATAATTCTATGTGGTGCATACAGCACATGAAATTAAATCAAAAGTTAATGATATTCGGGCAGAATAGTATTATATTAGGCTTAATTTTGTTAGGTACATACGGGCTGATGAAATGAAATCTTCACCCAACTACCTGTCACTGTTACAAATACAATCATGACAGTGACTCCGTGACTTATACATAACCGTGATTTTGTGACAAATATATGACATTGACTCCGTGACGTATACATGACAGTCACTTTGTCACTACTACGTGCTAGTGAATCTGTAACAAATACGTGACGGTGTAAGTGTGACAACTGCATGGAAGAAGTTTAATTAGCAATGGTTTTGATGAAAAAAATGCATACAGTCAAGTCATCTAGTTTCGTGCTAACCTATTTTTGGGCATCTCCGAAAATGATTAATAATTGACATGTGCGATCTCGCGTGACCTCCGCATTTGCTTGTTTTGATAAACATGGGTTATGTCTACAATGTCAACAGGTAGAATGAATCCAGTAGTTTCAAGCAAGGTAAAATATATTAACGTATACTTTGACAAATACAAAATGGCGGATTTCAGTTATTACCAAATGTCACAATTTTTTATCGGCCGAATTTCCTTATAATCCACAGCTGTAATCGGAATTCCAAGTGTCGTCTGCTAGAATGTAGTCTAATGAACGAAGTCACGTGATAAAATGCGGATTCCGTGTCAGCAGAAAAATTCTATGGGTGGGCCATATTCTTATCTTGTTTCAGTGACTTATAGCAATAAATCACTCTTACGTTTTACATATTATCTTATTTTGTCAGTCACTATTTTTTTTTAAATCGTGGTTCTTTGAAGGAATTGTCATTAGTTATGATAACTTGACATTAAAGATAAATACTAAGAGAAGACAATTATACCAATGGGTATGCATACAACGTGTTCTTCTCGACTTATTTATAGATCAAACATTGTACACGAAAATGCAGTGACGCATTTAGATGCCATCGTCGAGTTGGTTACTCATGAAATATGGGTCAAGGTGGGGGGATTCATAAAGAAAATCGAAACAAACCAATTTTAATTATTGTGTAGTATATCTGGGGAAACTTCTAAGACATTTTTGACGAAATGCGATGTTGAATCCTTATATGCACGAGTATAGGTTACACCATTATAATATTAGCACCGATTATATATACAAGATTATACAAGTCAAGTAACCTAATTTCGTGGAAACCTTTATTCGTGGATTTCCGGAAAGGATTAATAATTTACATGAGCGACCTTGCGCGACCTCCGCAATAGTTTGTTTTGATAAACATGGGTTTTCTCTACAATATCAGCTAGTAAAATGAATCCAGTAGTTTCAAGCAAGGTAAAATGTATTAATGTATACTTTGACAAATACAAAATGGCGGATTTCATTTATTACCAAACGTCACCATTTTTTATCGGCCGAATTTCCTTATAATCCCAAGCGGTAATCGGAATTCCAAGTGTCGTCTGCTAGAATGTAGTCCAACGAATGAAGTCACGTGATCAACTAGCGGATTCCGTGTCAGCAGAAAATTTCTATGGAACAAAAAGTGGACCATATTCTTATGTTATTTCAGTGACTTTTAGCAATAAATCACTCTACGTATCTTATTTTGTCAGTCACTATTTTTTTTTAAAATCGTGGCTCTTTCAAGGAATTGTCACTAGTTATAATGAATTGATATCAAAGATAAATACTAAGAGAAGTTAATTATACCACCCGGTATCCACACAGACTTATTTATAGATCAAACATTGTACACGAAAATAGGTGACGCATTCTGCTGCCGTTACCGAGTTGGTTGCTCATGAAATATGGGTCAAAGTGAAGGATTAATAAAGAAAATCGAAACAAACCAGTTTTAATTATTTTGTAGAATATCAGAGGAAACATCTAAGACATAAAAAAAAAATTTCGTTTTTGTAACTTTGACGAAATTCGGTGTTGAATCCTTATATCCACGAAAATAGGTTACACCACTGTATATACATGTATGCCTACATAAAATGTAATTAATATATCTGGGATCACAACGATAGGCAAAGGTATTGACTTACCTAATTGATTTTTATTTTTTATCTTAATATATGTTTTAAAAACGTATGTAATAACACTTTAATCTTTTTTTTTATAGATTGCAAACAATAGATTACTAAAAAATTTTTGTTGGGGAAGTCAAACCCCACCGGAGATAAGATATTTTGAAAATTTAACCATAAAATGATGTTTTCTGAAGTATATTTGAAACGGTATGTAACGGTTATTTTGTTAAGAATTTTAAGTATTCAGAAAACCCAATTGAGAAATAGTGCGGACGCCCACCATCGCACATTTCATAGTATGAATTCATGAATTTCAATCCGTAGTTTCTTTCTTTGATTTAACGGAGCATTCTGTCATTTTTGTAGGCCGGAAATTGTTTTGCTAAAATTTATGAAAAATATACACCAGAACCTAGAGAAATACTTCCCTGAACTTATCTGAAAGTTTTAACTCAAAAGGTCTCTCGCCGTTGATTTTATAACATCAAAACTATTTAAAACGTTTATGTAAACTTTTTAAGTTCGTTATGCTTTTTTGTAGGGGTAAGAAAACTACCGAGATGATTTAAGCAAATTAAACGCTTAGTATATCTCCTTCGTATTCTGAAGGTTTCAACTAAATATCGAGTCTTTACGAAGCCAATCACCAAAACTAGTTCAAGTTGCTTACATAAAACGTATATTATATATATATATATATATGGTTCTGCATACTACCCCATTAAATATCAGTATAGTATATTAAGTATAAACATGTATAAGCAATTACCAGAGAATCAAAATACTCCTCTTCAGCTTCTTCATTGTAAGGTATTCTCGATTCTTCTAACCTCAACAGTTCTTGCCTTCTCTCTTTTTCCCTTTGTAGTGATTGCAAGTAATCAATGTGTTGTAATAATCGTTTCTTATCTTCCTCATCCTGAACAAGTTTTGATTAGAGTTAAATTTAGATTGAAATATTTGATCAGAAATTTAGAACACGGAATTTCAATTTTGTATTATCAAGTTAAATTTTTGATTATCATTTCAAAAAATAACTTGGGAGCAATTCAAAATGTTTAAGTTGCAGACATCATATTGATCTTGATCTGTTCAGAGTTGCCGTATATTTCTAGATTTGGTTTTATACAAAAATCATTCTACATAACAGTATGTTGTCTTGGGTGATAGTAATGTTATGTGTTGATACAGATCTTAAACTAAGTTACCATAAGATGTGGTCTGTTTCAATTTGACACACATTAAGAGCGAACTGAATAAATTTGTAAATAAATTATTGCAGCCTTACCGTATAAGCTTCTTGAGCTTCTTTAGCGTTTTTTATAGCTAGACTGTATATCTCTTTATATTGATATGCTTTGGATTTTAGTTCTAATAACACTGCTCTGTGTGTCTCCTTTCGACAACATGATAAAGCTACATTTAATAAAAATACAAAATATATATATATGAATACAACAGTTAAAAAACTTTCAAATCCAAAGCACGGGAGATAAAATTGTGCATGAAAGGGATTGTGGTGAACTTTATTTGCACTAATCCAATTTACAATTAGACGTATGTGGTTAATATACGCGTTTTATGACATCACTAAAGGGCCTAACACGCATACTTTTAATGGAATTGCAAGAGCAACAGACGTATGACTGAAAATTTGAATGGTGCAAGTTGGTGTTATCAGTGTCCCCGATACACATAAAAAGTTTTAAAAACCTCTTTATAATCTCTTTAAATGATGACAATTCATTGACTTGTTTATCTTCCCACTTGGGTTCTAATGTTTTGAAACTTCCAAAATATATCTCAGGCGTGGATAAACAGGTATCATTATTCTATACTTATAGTGTGATATCCTGAAGAAATTAACTTACAATCTTTAGTTAGTTCCAGTATTTGGTCATGATATTTCTGAAACAGAACAGCAAAGCTGACACATCAGACAATACCGCTTAAGTAAATACGTCATGTACTACTTAATTTTTGTAGGTCGACAATTTCTTTTTTCAAATTTGTGAAAACTATACACCAAAACCTAGATAATTGTGTATCTGAAGGTCTGAACTTAAAAAATCCACCTGTTAATTTTTTAACGCCAAAACTTTTTAAAAAGTTAACTTAAGTTTACGTAAACTTTTAAAGTTCATTATGCTTTTTGGAAGCTGTTAGAAAACTACTATACGGATTTGAGTAAAGTAATCTAATTGTAGAGAAATATGTCACCTACATATTCTAACCAAATATTTCGACTTTTTTGGATATGATTGATACTATTTATAGCAACTTTCAAAACTTTATTTATGAAATAATTTGGTATATTTCAGGATAGATAAATCCCAATTTCTAACAGACAGAAAACTCACTAATGAAATCTAGAAGGTAGTTTGCCAGGCAAGGTGATAATGAACAACATTACAAAGTTTTGTCAAAAATCTGGCAAGAATTGTGCCTTTTAGAGTGTTTACTAGTTAAAAATTGAAAGCGTTTTCAAGAACGAGTACAATTGCTCATATAAAATATTTTTTGATTTTCAATGGCGTTCATCTATGGTCATGTCACAGTCACAGTCACGTCCGGACATGGTTGACGCCGATATACGACCCGCATTTCATGTGGGCGTATGAAAATTAAGTTTCGAAAAGGCGGGGTATGACAAAGAAAAGGCTGATTTCAGCTATGCTCCTTTTGTTTTCAGGAAGCATGCAAATTTTCATTTTCAAAAACGTCGTAAATTATACCTGAAATATTTTTGCTATTTGCATTTATGTATCTACTTGGTCAAACTGAATTTGTCTAAACGGATAGTACTAAATTGTAGTTAGATCTAGTTTTGGTGTTGGATTTATAAGTTGAAACCTTTAGAATACATAGGAGGCATATTTCTCTATCATCAGGCCGCTTTTTTTTTTACTTAAATCCGTACAGTAGTTTCCAAAAAGCATAACCTAAAATGTTTACGAAATTGTTTTAAATAGTTTTGGCGTTATAAAGATACATTAAAAAATTCTTCCGCCTATAAACCACTCGTCCTACAATAAAATGTGTGTTTGATTGTGATCACTGGTTAAATAAACATGCATTCTACACTTAATTATTTTTGAAAGAGTTGCAATAGAAGTATATTTTGATTTTGAAAAACTGTGAGCCACCATAAAATATGTATATAAACTACACAAATAAATACTACCTGAATATCAATACACTTCATCATATCAATTGAATTTTCAACTGCCTGATCTATATTATCGTCATTGACAGGCAATTTTTGAAGAGGCGTGTTAATCCATTTAGCTATGATATAACATGCTGGGAAATGATTTATTTGATATGCTCTGCTCCTAAACTTTGCGATATCTTTAATCATCTGAAATATAAGAACTATACTTACGAAAGATAGCTTGCAATCATCTCTTTACTGAAGACCTTATCAATTCCAATGAAGTTTCAAATCAAATGAAAAATGGATTTTTTTGAGCTCATGAAGAAATTTGATATGTTTTAAGTCAAGGACAATAAGTCAATTTCCGTTCATCGAAAGAGCGTCAAATTAGAGATCAGGGGCGACGACAATAAAAAGGGCAATAATTGTGCATTTTTCATAATCTGAGAAACATCAATGTCAGGAAGATGTTTAGCCTATTACCAGCTGGTAGACAGGATTTTCTAGTAAACCTTAGCTGTTGTTTTTATTTATTTCAAACCGCCCAAATTCCAACATAGACTTCAATTTTGGATTTCCCCTATGAACATAGGTATATATTTCAAGCTTGGGTATTCCTGTTTACCACTAAATCAATGTTACTTTGTTGTATGACAGTAATGTTCAAGTTATCAACAATTATCATTTACCTGAGATGAGATATTACTTCTACCGAATAGTCCGTAGAACTTTTCGAGAATATTAAACAAATTAGTTAAAACATTGACATATGGCTTCTCATAGTCTTCAACATCCATTACACATGATGTATCAATCACAACCAACACTGAAATAATTATCAAAGTCGTTTACAGGTGCATCGCTTTATTTAGAAAACAATTGAATTGAATTCGTAAACGTCTATAAAACAAAGGTCAAAAATCGATCTATCTGCATTTTAGCAAAGTGGACTTGCTGAATTTAAATAAAGCAAGCGAAACGTTATTTCTTTGATGTCAGCAATGTTAGGATTCTTGGACCGTCTTCATGTTGTACCAAGGGATAAATAACAGCTTTCACTTTATTTATAAATCAAGATGAACCAACTGAAACAGTAGCGTAAGTTAGATAAATATTTTATATCTATAGTATTTTATAGTTTACCTACCATTAGTATAAAATCTGATAACACTCATTATATATTCAATATCATCTTCAGGTATATTCTGAAAGTGAATGATAAACATAGTATGGAAGGGTAAAAATCGAAATTGAAATCCGTCAGCAAATATACCGTATGAGCTGAGGATCCACTACAACTATAATAGGCCTATTATATCAGAAATATGCTGTTACTCAGAGTTTTAACCTGTACAATCTCAAGACAACCTACTATACAATTTGGAATTTCAGTTAACAATGGTGTCATTAATATCATTGAGATTAACTTACCTTTAAGTTGATAAACATACATAGCCTATGGTTCAATTGAAGTTTTAGTTCGTTAAAATTCTCATTTTCTTTTCTTTTATCAAGATAGTCATTTAAGTCTGTGGTCATTTGATTGACTTCTGACATCTGAAAATTCCCGGATTGCAATTGAGCTTCCAACCTCATCAGCAAAGGCTCAATGTAATCATCAAATACCACAAGATATTCCTATAAGAATATGAGAAAGCTTAACAAAAATATTGCAACCTCTGTGTATTCCAAGATTTTCCTGTCTTTCTCTAATCTATAATTCCAGAAGATCAAGCCAAAACTTATCTATATAGTCAGTTCTTTTTCAGAAGTACATGAACAATAGACATTGTATTGAGAATAATAGTGTGCAAATCATTGATCGGGGCTGATGGTGTCTTAAATAATACACAAATAAATCACAAACATAGACTAAAACCACTTTTGTATCTCATCACTTGTGAGGAATTCTCTGGTAGGCCTATTCATTTAAACAGATCCACCTTTTAGTATGCATTGTCATTTTTGATGGTACACATAAACAAAACTTTGCCTCTATATAAAATATACTAATCTAACGTCTGAATCATCAAAAATATTGGGCAACTCTGAAGACTTGAAAGGGATTGAAAAAAATATATGAGTATCGGGGACACTGATAGCATTAATTTGCACCATTCCAATTTTTAGTCAGACGTCTGCGGTTCCTGTAATTCCACCAGAAATAAGTGTTTGATGACGTAAGTAATCGCAAAATATGGTTTATCACATAAGACTCTTAGCGATTGGTGACATCAAACAGTTAGTTTTATTGGAATTGCAGGAACCACAAACGTGTGATTGAAAATTTGATTGTTGTAAATTGATGTTATTAGTGTCCCCGATATAAAGATAAAAGAAAACTTTTTTGCAATCAATTTAATTTATCTCAAATTTCATAAAGAAAATGTCTCAAAAAGATGATCCAATAAAGCTGATTACTGTCACTTCCTATGCCTATGTAAAACATTTAAGGTTTTTTTTAACTAAGTACAAAGTAAAACAATGAAACCATTTATCTTGCCAATAATATATTCGATTTCTAAATGTATACCTTGTTATGCTTTACGATATCTTGGTCTATGTCTGTGTTTTTTTCTACCACAGTTGCGTTATTGCTGGTATTTGATGGTGGCTTCTGAACTGTTTTGGTATTTTTATCCTCCAGATATTTAATATAATCACTCATTTCTTCTTTGTTCTTTTCGCTCTTAAAATCAATTACGAAAAAAATTGAAATGATAGAGTATTTTTGCAAAATATTAATTTTTCCCAATATATCGGGGTTTCGCAGTTAAAAACTACAACAATTGTCAAAATTGCTATCCGAGACTGGAATAGAGAGAGGTATTTAGGTCTATCTTACTTAACAAAAAGGAATGAGAGTACGCCGACCAATATACACTCGCACATCAAAAAATCAATTTTTGCTGAAACCTTAACCTTGTTATTTCTAGGGCGTATAAAATCAAAGTATACCGAATAACATTCTTTTGCGTTTTTCGCCTTTTCAATGGCCAAGGTTAGTATCTTTTTCTCTTCATAAGCTCTGGCTAGTAGTTCAAATACTTCTCCTTTCTTGTCATTACTTAGAATTCCCATATCTAAAATATAATACAGAAGAGATGGTGCGAACTCAAAGTTGTTAGTAGTGAATATGTGAATAAATGGTCAGTGGAGTTCTGAATTGTGTAATAAATTGTTCTTCGAAGCTAACGAGATGACTCGTCGAAATCTGGCAGATCTAAAGTCGTGGAATTTTTAGACAATGAAATTTAAGGAGCTCTTAGTCTTATCTGCCTGTAACGGAAAAATCTAGATAATAACATCTCTTTAATTTTACTAGGTTCATACGTAACTTCAGCATCACCAGTTTTTACAAAATCGTGTTTATATCTCTATCTGTACAGGCCAGATGATATTCCGAAACATTTGCCTCTATAGCTATTTTGACAGTCGTTGGCTAGAGTCAGAAAATAGTCCTGTTTTATGGAGATATTCAAAATATCCGAAGGAACATTTTAAACCACCTTTGTAATGAGTGTCGTTACTTTCGTTTTGTTCGTATCAGGTGGCCCTGGAACCACAGATGGGACATTGGTGTAGGGGGGATAATCATGGTATGACTGAACAACAAAAATATCCATCTCTCCGAAAATCTTTGGTGGATTGTATTTAATTATTAGGTTTAAAACCTCCACACCTTCGGCGGTGCGAAAAAAATTCCCATTTAACAGGGCTTTCTCTTTCTGTCTCGTCAGCCGACAACTGTCAAAATATCTATCAGAGTCTGAAATAAAGGCAGATGTTTTCGGTCTAGCCAGAGGAATTTACTATCGTCAAACTAGTTCATTGTTTTAACTCACCAATTTGTACACCTTCAGCAACAATGTCACCACAGTTATTCTACAAAAGAAAATACATTTAATAATGAAGCTGGAATCAAATGGATATAGTTTAGTCGTCCACATAAATTGAGCAATCTGTAGGAATTTCTCTTCTATGGGTCAACATTAGGAAATAATTGAGTCTTGTCACATAAACATTGCTTTTCCGGAAAAACTCACTTTAAGGAAAAGCGGCTAAACTGCTAAAAGCGAACAATAATAGTTGAATTTCTGTGTACATTATTGAATGTACCGCGGGATGTCATTACCTTTTTAACTAGAATCTTTCTGGATATCAACCAAAAATCCAAATTGAGTGCACAATAGTATTCTGTTTTGCTTGTATTTGGTAAATCTGGTATTAAATCTGGTATTAAATCTGTACATGTATCAGCGATGAAAAAACTTGATGCCTCGTTTTCACTAAGATTGAGTTCAGCCATTCCATAAAATTCTTGAAAAATCTATCAAATAAATTCTAATCTTACATATTATATCATATGACTTCAACATAGAGCAGATATATGAAGGAGTCCAGGTCGGAGCAAATCCTAAGAAAACACCTCTATATCTGCATTTACTGTAGTTATGTGATAAATTAACTCACAAACCCACGACTAAATGCATTTGATTACGGAAATAATACCTACCCTATCGTATTGAGTCTCTGGAGTAAAGCCAGCTTTTATTTTCTTAATCGCATTGGTATGGTAATTTAAGTCAAAATGAACCACCAACTCTCCATTTTGAAATTCACAAAGTGTTGATGGCGTTGAAACAACTGAAATATTTACTTTAATAAGAATTAAAAGCATTAAATTCATTGCAGAAGTCATTACGATGAATCGAAATGGGTTGCCAAGATATGTAAGATTTCTGTGATTCTTGAAATCCTTACCCATATATGATAATTATCGACAAAGTTGATAATAGTAACTATGAAAGGGCCTTTACTTAGTTGTAGTGGAATTACAATCATTTGACGACGTTTGACTGAATATTTGAATGACGCAAATCTACGCTATCAGTCTCCCAAATCTGATTAAAAATCCATTGAAGAATAATATTCATATCTGGGTAAGCCCATTTAGATCTATGGTTCTATGTCCTATACTGTGTATTCGTTTATGCCAATGTAATTCTCATTTTCCACATCCACGTCACTTACTCAACATTATGCTTTGGTGGCGTGAATATGACTATAATCGACACCTTCAAGCAGCGATTTTGCAAAATATTAATCTGAATAACGTTGCTGGACAAAAGAAATCCTTACCATAAAAAATAAAACGAAGAAATCCAAATTGGGCTTGTAATGATTCTTTAATGTCTTCAGGTTTAATCTGAAAAATTAAATACTTATATGTGGATTTTTTGTTTAATTCAAATGTAGCATATAGGCGTTCAATTATTACCGTCATAGAATGTGTGAATACGGAACTATACAGGTGTCGTTCTTACATAGAAATGACATTAGCCCCTTGCTATGCTGAATTCATTTACCATCTCACCAATCTACAAAAGCGTTGACCAGCCTTGCGAGTATAGAGATTTATCAAGCCAAAACTCCAGCGCAAGTCGAGTTGATAAGCTGATGCTATGAAACGATGGTTTAGCTACCAACCTCAATACTTTTACGCAAGCGGTATAGTAATTCTGGTTTAGGATCCAATTCATTGGAAACATTGGTGCTGAAGATCTTTTTTATCAAACCCTTAATATTACCAAACCACTTTCTCCCATACTCTGCAGTAAATTCGCCATCTTTGACTCTCTTTTCTGCTTTATATAATGAATCTTCAATACATATTCGACAAAATTGTAGGCTGATAATATCCATGTTGAACCTTTAAAGACAAATAATATTCAATTGAAAATTTTAGGATGATGTCTTACATAAATGACTGCAAACCGTGACATAGCAAGTTTATTCTTTAAAAAAAGTAGATATATACGGATCTAAGGGGTCGACGTTGTTAATTCTTTAGATTCCGGGGACGCTTTCCGGTTCGGATGGTTAGTACATGGTTTATTTATTCAATACCATCGGGACACAATTATTGTTTTTCCCTCCCTACCTTTAGCAGGTAGGAAGAACATGTCAGCCCCTCCAGTCCAAGGGCATGTGGACCAATGGCATTGTCTTTTCTTCACACCGCTGAAATTTATTGTCAGCGTTTTAATGTTGGAACGCTCCGAAGCTATTCCATTTTGGATCAATGATAGCGCAAATTGTGTTCATTCAAATCGTCTCAAATTGGTGATATATTATTTTAAACCCATAGCAAACATCAAACGTGGTATATAAATTCCCAGCCAATCTACCGCAAGTTAATAATTGGGGTACATATGGTTTTGGCCAATATTTTGGATCAAAGACTTCCATGTACATCACCAAAATTAGAATAGGAATTTTTGCAGAATCAATATATACAGGTCAGAAGACCCAGAATAATATATGGTATATTTTGCTTCTTTCTATTCTTAAAATTTCAGATCCATACTTGCGATATCACCAATTAATTTATTATACGGAAGAGAGTTTTATGATGTTTAATATCCCGCATCCCCAGGGTTTTTCATTTGGAAAAACAATAAATAATATTGAATAAGTGACACAACTTTTGCCTTCAGGACTCATGAACGAGTGAGCTAGACTTACTATATGTTAGACTAGGAAACGTTGGTCCCTATCTGAGTATCAATGAAACTCTCCCCATTAATTCAGGAAACACTACGTCACGTGCTAGTAAGTTCTAAGAGTCAGAAAAATTAAGTATTCAGTAGACAATAGGTTATGTATGTCCCAAGAAATCAAATTTACGGTACATCATAGAATGTAAAACGAAATGAGATTGGTTGAACTCATCTTGGACATGATGATGCGGCATCAGGGAAGAGACGTTTTCTGGCAAAGGGGTGCAACTCTACAAACGTGATCAATTCAGTCCACGACCATTTAGCTAGACTACATATTATTTGATAAGGCCTTTTGGAATCAAACAATGATTAGATAATTACCCACAGAATTACAATAAAATATTCCCGAGATTTTAAATATTATGTTAAAAATCTTGAATTTTAAATATACAATCCCAGAATATTAAATGAAAAGGATTTTGTGAAAAAATAAAATTACACCTGAACAGTGTGATACGTAAAGGGTTTTAAGAAATGTAGTTATCCCCCTTGCCCTGGGAAACCCCCTTCAATGCCTTAAGTGCACTTAAGTATAATTATTGAAATTTTTTTATTAGATAACAGTGTCTATATTGGATTTAGTGCAGAATTTATCTCAACATACATCTTAACAATATTATGTTAAATAACGGACCAATGACGGATAGGCCTATATAATAACATTGAGCAACTTGTTACTATATTTATCTCCGACTAGACCAAAACAAAGACATTTGTAAGTCTATCATAATACGTAACAAGTCTTCAGCTATTAGTTCTAGCATGAATTAAAATCAAAATAAATCGATAAAGCTAACTGAATTCTTAAATCAAAACGTTAATACTTTACCTACCATATTATGTAATACTCAAGTAAAATGTAAAGCCAAAGGGCTGTCGTTTCAGCTTGGTTGACTGATTTAATAATTGATAGCTTATATCCCGTTTCTATTTGTGAATATTGTATCGGTGAATATAGCTGCACGAAGTTGTTGATTATTTCTAGGAAACGTTATTAGAAATCTTATGAATACGACACGAGTCTAACCTAGTTTCGGTTTCCATATGACAATAATTGATTTTCTGAGCAGGCTAATGCCGCTGTCCTGGCAAAATGTCCCTCATTGCACCCTGTATAGCGTTGCCCGTCTTAATTAGCTCACATGGTGCAGAAAAGTAGGAAGTAAAAGTCCATTCATTTCATTTCATTTCCCAGTCAAACTAATGTTACAACCTAGTCATTTCTTTCCTCAACAGTATCTAAATATTTTATTAAGTACCTCACTTAATTTTTAAGAATTTCACTATCACGTGAAATTTTGACTGACAGTTTACCGTTAGGTTTTTAGTGAGATCATAGGCCTACTAAGTAGAATAAAGATATATCGTTACGCATCATGCATTACACTTTTTAAATGAAACGCCTTCTTTACAGGAATAGACTTCGGGTCTTCGGGATTCTTTAAGGACCCAGTAAATTACAATCAAGTTACACATGTATTGAGCAAATAGGTCTGTCATTCCATAAACCTGCGAACATAGATCTGCAGTCATGTTTGAAGTTTGAAGATTATTTACGTATATTTAAGACCCAAATCAACCCAAATGGTGAACTTGTCCCTTTAAAACTTCGAATCACATGAATGATAATAACAACCACAATCAACATGATATGATATGTATTCTCATATTCTTCGTACTGTCCTACCAATGTTATTTCAACAGGGAAATTTAGAAAAACGATGTTTCACACTATTTATCCTCAATTTTCTTTGAAATTGTTATTTGAAGTTATATGGAGGCATGGTTACTATATAGTTGCGTTATATATAGGCTATTGCATGTACATATCCTATACAATCATGTATTATTGTTTTTGATATGAAAGTTTGAAATGTGTTAAAGAGACAGATGTGCCATCTTGGGGAGTTGATTTATGTCTAGAATATACATGTATGAAAATCGCATAATTCCTTCAGAAATATCACAAACTAGGAAATTCTATTCCTTTATTTATATATTTTTTTTCTATATATGGCAATGTCTCAAGAAAAGTCGAAAAGTCTTTTTAACTTTCAAATGCGGATAATTCTGGGACACATATGGATAGAAGGCTCAAATTGTAGCCTATCTATTAACCCTTTATACAATTACCTATCAAACAGTCGGATTTATCGATTTTAAATATATATCTTATGTCATTTATTATGTCTATGTAATACATATTATTATTGTATGTATTGAATTTGAAAGTAAAAGCATGATTCCAGGCAGATTGCCGAATTTCTAACTATATTTAAATCTTCCCTTATATATAGCAATTAAAATATATAAAAGGAATACATTAACCTATACTTTTAATACATAATATACACTCAGATATAGTCTTAAAGGTGTTATTACAATTATTAATAGGAATATATCATACATCATTGGTCTGCATTTAATTTCGTTTTATACAGTTAACACCTTTAAAATTTTAATTTTTCTCAATTTTATATTTGTCTGAAATATATTTACAGTATCTAGAGTTGCCTCCCATTACTTGTATTATTTATGACTGGGATTTAACTCTGTGTAGCATATTACGCAATAAACACCTCCATTTTCCATTGGTCCGATGCCGGTTTGAAGGGGTTTCGAAGTAGTTATCTTGGATTTAAACCATACTCTATGACTAGTTAACAAGATCTCGATAACAATATATAATATTCAAATTTCCAGCGAATTAGGTGAAGATTTAGAGAAAAAACGCCTTTAGGACCTTAAAAATTATGTAAATTGAAGAAAAAAAATCCGCTAAAATAACATTTTATGTCAAAATAATTCGAAATAGAGCGGGCAATGGTTGAGTTGACAAATTTTAGTCGACTGTTCAAATTCTACTTTACTAATGATAAAATACAAGCCACTTGGTATAAAGAGATCAATTTGAGCAGAGAACAGAATCTAGGTGTTAACCTATATTATAATGAATTACAGTGAATTATATTTAAACCTGAATTAAAGTATCGTTTTGATTATGTTTAAAAGGACTCGTGATTTTAATTTAAATGTGTAAAGCTTACCTGATTTTGAGTTCACAAACTGTAATGTAACAAATAGGTAGCCTATAGACTATCTACAAACACTGTAGGTCCTACGCAGCCATTTATATTTTATCAAACAATTCGATTTTAAAATAAATCTTAGCTCACTTATTATAAATTTATTAATAGGCCCTATACCTATTATATTATACTGTATTTATTGAAATTGAAATTAAAAACATAATTCTAAGAAATCTTCTGACTACCTTCTAAAGAAATAAATGTTATACATAATACACACGAAAAGTCTTAAAGAGATTACATGTATTTCAATTGATTTTCAATGTAATTTCGTTTCACACGTTTAACAGTTAATTATTGTCTGAAAATATATACACTTTCTAGAGTTGCCTCCCGTTACTTGTGTTTGTAGGCTACTTTTCGTGAAATAAAACCAAGGACCATAAAACCATGTTCTGTGACTTATTCACAGGTCAAAATGCATACTGAAAGAATTCTGTGAGGACCTTGGAGAAAAACTCTTATAGGATAATATGAAAAGATTAAATAGATCCGTGATTAGAGAAAATTGAAAATAACAAAAATAACAACTTGTCCATATGACATATAAACTTCGAAAATTGCGGGAAATGGTTGAGTTGGCATACGTCAAGTTGAAATTCTACTTTTAATGATAAAATACGAGACAATTAAACACGGTATAAAGAAATCAAACAATTTAAAAATTATTGACTAGAAATTAAACCTGAGGATTTTATTGTGAATGGTATCCTATTTAAAACCTGAATTAAAGGGGCGACATGCAAATTTTGTATTATTAAAAACATTGTAAATTATTCACGAAAAGATTTCTAAGATTATGCTATTTACATTGATGTATACACTGTCTTGATCCACCTCGGTTTGTTTAAGATGGGTGATTTAAAACAGGGATTACATAATAGTTTTCCAACATCAACCTAAAACATTGGGACCCTAACGTTTAAGTAAACCTTTTAACCAGTTCAAGTAAAATTAACAACGGCAAGATACTTTCAGATAGGCTAATTGATATTTTTTACTTTGATCTACTAAAAACATCAAACTGCCCCTTTAAATCTAAATTCTTTTG